GGGTAATGTCTGCAGTTTTTGATCAATCAAGATAGGGCCCATAGTTTTTAATAATTTATATATTTTGCCTGTTGATTTTGTGCACATGCAGTTATATGTTGGAGGCCTCTTAACCACTGCAAACCAAATTTACCCAAGAGAAGAAATAAAAACAACCTGATTTTTTGTAGTTTTTGCAGACTTTCAGGTATAAATGCACAGTCCTTACCTTGGCCTCCTGAAGGCAAGTCCGTACTGCTGGCAGGCCAAGCCGACTGTAGGAGTGTAAACAATGGGCATGAACTCCTCTATGTCAGAAGTCAAGAGACGATAGAAGAGCTTCTCATTTCTGTCCTGCAACGTCATGAGCAAAATGTACCTGGAAAAATAAAATAGATATAATCAATGGTGAAGAAGTACTTCATTTTGTTACTTAAGTAAAAGTACACATACTGGAGCAAAAAAATACTCAAGTAAAAGTATCACATGAAAAAATCTACTTAAGTAAAAGTCAATACATTAATAAAAAATACTTTTACTTTTCAGTCAAGTTAAAAAATGTAGAGATGTAGAAAGCACAGATATCTGCTCTCAAATGCAGTGAAGAAAAATGTGCGAGAGTAAAGTACAGATACCTTTTTTTACTTAAAAGGTGCATTGTGTAACTTTTCTGGTGGAGGGTCTGTCAATTGTCAATTTTTCTCCATGGAGATGTTATTGCTTTGTCTGGAATGTTTTACAGTATGGTATTAAACATTTCTATCATTATGGAGACCAAACTAGACCAAGGTAAAGGTCGGATCTGTGGAGAGGCAACCCTGCTCACAGTTAGAATGTCTGTTTTTCTGGGTATTTTTGCACAATAAAACCACCTGTAATTGAATAACTGTACGGTAGATCTGCTTAATGTCATACTGTGGAACACTCCAGGCAGAGCAATGACATATCCAGAAACAAGCAAGTGACGGACCCTCCACCAGAAAAGTTACAGAATGCACCTTTAAGTACAGTGCTTTACTACTTTTACTTCATTACATTCCACCACTGTATACTATATTAAGACATTGCTTTGTTACTTGTCGAGTGGATCTGAGCGCAGTTCGTAGCTCTTCATGACACGAAGGACTTGAACATCCTGGGACAGAAAGCAGGGAGGCAGCAGCCCGTGGATACCCAACTGCTGACGCTCCTCCAGTGTGAAAGCCATACCCTGTGAAATGAGGACAGGCAATAATAACATATGGGCACCAAATACAGTTTACCATGTGTGGCCTGAATAAGAAACCACACTGATTATATGACTCATCGGTAGGTCATGTGATTGGTTGTTAGTGGAAAAACTGTCTCAACATAATTCTGCATTTGAATGAACTAACTTTTCTAAGCAAGTCTTATTTTGTCTTTGTTATGCTATGTTCTTGTATCCCTTACAGTCGCCTGGTTCTTGTGAGTAACATCTGTGACGCTGGCTGTGATCCCAAAGACTGAGTTGTTTAATCTATTTATTCTGTCCAATGGTGTAGCAGTGCAGACCCACACCCCTCCTCAGCCCTCCTCCTAAATACTGTACTTCTCCTTTTGTTGCAGAGTAAAACTGGTGAAAGGAACAATGGAACATAAACTGTAATATGTAACTTTAGTTTGCTTTATACAATATTAATGCCTGAAGCAAGACATTAATTATGAGGAAACTTTGGAAACGGGAAAATAGAGGAATGTCACTGAAGCGATATGTTTTTTTTCTATAGTGATACAAACTGTTTAGAATCCAGAGAAACTTTAACTCTTTTACTGAGAGAGCTGTGTAGTCACTTGCAGTATCCTCTTCACACTTAAGTGTTCAGATTAAGCTTTATACATATTTTTTGTCAGCTAGTTGGCCTATTAAGAGTCCTGATAAAGAATACAAGTATTTTGACATTATAGACATAGCAATTTTAATTATAGACTATACTCCTTATTAATATTAGCATTTTGGCATTAAATTAAAACTATAACCCAACACGTGAATAAACTTAAACTAATAAAACATAATTTAATTGAGCATAATTGCACATAGTAGAGGACAAATGCAAATGTACTTTCCATGACTATACAGTCCATGGTGTTATCTCAGTGAGTTTTATCTGAGGTCCTTCCTGAAAAGATTTCCTGAGCCAGAGATTGATGACAGGGCAACTTTATGAGAAGGGCTGCACATCCTTTCAAAACCTCTCAACACAAACCCCATATTCAGCATTAAATGTGGAATAATGCAGATGTATGTAAAACGGTTATTAGTAATTTGTTACATCTCCAAAATATAATCAAATTTAAAATAAACACAACTCAAGATCAGACTATATTAAATTGTACATATTTTTCCTCTAAATAGATATGTTATGCATTGGCATGAGTTTTACTTAGTGAATGTAGGAATGACCACTCAGGCCTGCCCTATGACTGTATAAGATGTATTTAATAATTTAAACTTAGATATACAGTATGTCCATTATGTCTATGATGAAAAGAATCTCAGATTACGAGAATCCAGTCACAAACCAATCAGCAAAGAGCAAATTAAGTGCTTCTGTGTGATTATCTAATAAAACTTAACTCAGGTCATTGTCTGAGAATTAAGTAGATAGTGTAATTTACTTCAAAGATTCAATGGGAAGTGTTGTCTTCAATTCAGCAGTTAGGAGCCAAGGCATTACTGTGACACTCATATGTAAACAGATACACTTGACCAGGGGTCTCCAACCACTAGTTTGGGTGCTACCAGTAGTTTTCCACCCCCTTCAAGTAGCTTGCCAAGGCATTTCTGAACTGCTTGTATACATATTGTGCTGAATAAATAAAATTATTAATAAATGGATAATGATTTATGTTTTATAGGCATCTAACTGTACCCATCTAAGGCTGAGGCTTATATTTACAATGTTTCTTGCAACCGATAAAATGAGTAGCTCTCTGGCATTTTTGTTTCGTAAAGGCAGCATGTGGGACATTGTTTTGGCTGATGACAGTCAACACATATGAAAGGTCTCTTTTGTATTCCATAGATAAGCCTTTGGTTTATAATCAAATATTATCACACATGTGAAAACGATGACACTAGTCCAATGCTGTAGATAAGATAAGAGAACTTCTATTTGTCCCACAGTGAGGAAATTCCAGTGTTGCAATGCACAGTTCAAGAATAGGGGAATAGAAATATGTATTCTCTGGACATTGTGGGAAGAAACTACACACACCTTATTCAGGTGAGGATTTCTTGTGATGTCGTAGCCCCTCTTCTTGGTGAAAACACTGCCATTTCGGTTGGTCCCAGAGTGGCACACCCTCACAGCCTGAACACAGGCTTTGTCAAGTCCAGCAGAGGAACCTGACGACCCCCCAAACACCTTCAAGCCCCCTGTAGGCCGACGACACAGCGACAGGGCAGCTCTGGCTGGGCATGTGAAGGAGTTCATGGTGCCTGCACATACACACACAGGAGTAAAACAGCTGATCTGGGAGCCATGCCCGGGTCAACACAGTGCAAAAAAAACCCACACTGGAAACCCCAGACGCGCCTCTCTCACCTCAGCAGCAGACATCTCGAGTAAACAAGGAGTAGAGCTGCAGACTCACACCTCTCTCTCTCACTTTGGGTTAGCAGTAATAATAGGCTTGTAATAGCAAATATCACACGCATACACTACTGAAGAGGATGCCACCATTTTCATGCGAGTACTATAGCTGAGCTGTGCTGTGTTCAAACAATTGTACAAGAGCTAGCCAATGATTTAGCAGCTCCAAGCACAGCACACTGAAGGCTACATAGTATCTTCCACATGCGAACTGCGCTGCGACTATCGCGTTGTCCGATGCTTGACTATGACCTTACCTGGAAATTACGAGGGGCAAAAGTGCACTTGAGGCACTCGGAAAAAATGTTTACAGAGGATGTTGGATCGACAGCTGATCCAGGCGTTATTTGACATTGGCAGTTTCACTTCCCAGTTACTCCTTCAGAGAGACCAATCACATAAGACCAGGGCGGGCCGGAGGAGAGTCCAACCCCCATCCAGACCATCCATCATCAGTCCGTCTATGGTCCAGCCCTCAGCCCCCAGAACACAGTCTGCAAGGTAAGCCCACCATGGATCTAAGCCGTCAAGTACAGTCAAGTACACCAGCCCCCAGACGGAATTTCAAGTATAACCACGCAGATATTAAAAAATAAAGAACCGGCAAAAAGACCTCCCAAAAAGATCCCAACAAACTGATTCTTGGCATTGATTATTTTTTATCGAATGTTATTTACAGTTTTTGACTTTGTAAATGTTTAGGCCAGTCCAGGATTGTTGCCAAATTACTGATGTAGATTCCGGCGACGACGACTGGCAGCAGTGACTTCTAGATAGGCCTATAACTGTAACGTGGCGCCATCTGCAGGAAATAAGACGCCAGAGCATTTTGCCTATTTGAGCACCAACACCTTTTTAGACCATGTAGCCCATGCAGTTATGAGAAGAATACTTTAAAAATGTATTTAGTTTCAGAATAATGGATACTCAAATTGAAATGTATTTTATAACATATTCTGTTACATTGTCCAATCAGAGCACTGTATTCTGAATACTCAGAATACTTTTACACCAAGTTGCATTTAAATTATAGGGTAAAGACGCAACACAGGATTTAAAACAACTTCTACTTGTATCATTGTTTTTAAAGCATTGTTTTTGTGCAGTTTAAAATGTTTAAAACCACATGGTACACAGACCTGGAGCAGGTTAAACTTTGCCAACTCGCCATTTTAAAGAATGATGTAGAAAGGAGAGACAAAGATATCATCATTTAACAGTTCCATAGATGGATTTTTGAAGGTATATTTTTATCTATATAGTAGTTATTATGTCATAAATAAGTAATGAAACTGTGTAAAAAATGTTTATTGAAACATTTACAACATTTCAGTTAAACCATTAGGTATGTAAAAATGTAATTTGAGATGTACACAGGCACCATATTGTTTTTCACATTAACAAAATAAATACTAGAAATAACAAGCCAGAGTTCTTCCAAAATGAAAGATATTTACATATTTGTATACTTCGTTTTCAACTTCATCCAAACAAAACAAAAATACAATCTACATTCACAAAATGAAAAAAAACAATGCCAAAAAATACAGTCAACTTCATTAGTATTCATTAATACATCAACAACTATTACATGATGAAATGTTTACAATAAAAAACAAGAGAGAAATGTTTCAGATGACTACACTGGTGCCGCTACGGGAGCTTCTATCCTACAAGAGAAAGTGGAGTTAAAGACAGCAACAATGATTTAACAAATCACCACAGCCAAACCAGGCAAAAGCGAAAGAGCAGAAAGAAGAAACATAAAGAATGAATACTGGTTATGACAGGACAGAATGAAGCCACTTAAACGACCGGTAAATGTTCGTACTGTAGACATGCCACACACAGTACACACAACGAAAGCAGGCAAAGACACTAGTGAAGTTAAGTTAGTTTGCTTACAGAGAGACGGTCATAGTTCCTTCTGCTGTGTCCGGGCTGCATCTCGATGGAGAAGTAACTTGGAGGGTTTTCGGGCCAGTCCTTCTCTTTGCCACCCTTCCTCCTCCTGTTGTCCTCTTCTGAGCTCCAGGACCCCCCTTTGTGTCTTTGAGGAGGAGAGTAGCTCCGCTCACGCCGCCGCCCTCGACTCTGCTGCTCCTCCATCAGGTCATCTCGACTCCGAGCACGGGGTCTGGACCCTCCACTCCTCCGCCCAGAGGACGCCCCTCTCTCCTCCCTCCTGTGTGGAGCTCGGCTGCGCCTGTTGTCCCAGTCAGAGTCTTCATTATAGTCCCTTAAAATCCCACGGTGAGATGTAGACGTGTCTCTGTATCCACGGGCACCTGAGCGATTAGTGCTCCCACTGGACTGACTGGAAAGTCTGGGTCCAGCCCGGCCTCCCTCGGCTGCACCCACCCCCCTGTGGGAATTAAAGCTGGGCTGGCGCTGGATAATAGGAGGCAGAGTGATCACCCGTCTCTCCATGCCCCTAACACCCATCTCGTCTAGTGCAGACAGCATGCTCGGAGGTCCAGGTGTGTAGGGGACAGGAGGAGGGCCATATGTGTAGGGGACAGGAGGAGGGCCAGGTGGAGACTGCAATGGTGCCATATTCTGAGGCAGTGGAGACACGTCGAGTCCTCGGACCTGGTTTTCCAAGTAGTCCAGCACCTGATTGGTCCCATGCACACTGCCCTGCAGGCTGCCATTGACCAGGGGCGGAGGAGGGGCATGGTTTTGGAGGGCCATTGGTGAAAGTGGCATGGGAGCCATAGCCAGGTTCTGTTTTTTTGGGTAATCTGAGTAGGACCCTAAAATAAAAAGAAAATTATCTGAATTTAAAGATGAATTCACCAAGCCCAGGTATTTTAATGCTCATTAATATCACCTTGTTTAGCCATTATGTAGTTTAATGCAAGTGTGTGATGAAGTTCACTGACAATGTGACTGACCTGAGTATAATATTGGGACCCCCTGTGTGGAAGCATTGGAGCTGATAGGAGCATAAATGGGCTGTCCCTGCAACCAGGGAACCATGGCCTTTTGAGCTTCTCGTATCATTCTGTGCTGCATCACAGCTGAAATGTGAATTAAAATATTACATTTGTGTATATTTTTTGATTATTACTGTATACTTCTGTACCTTTTTCGGGACAGCAGCATGTTTTTGGACAGCATGGGCAGCGCACATAACAGCAGCACCTTTGAGGGCAGCACTGGCAGCAGCAGATGCAGAAAAGCATGATCAGCAGGATTGCACCGATAATGATGAACAGCACTGTCAGCCAGTCTGAAAAAGTCGCATATGTGGATATTTTAATATCAATATTTAATAACAATATTCAGTTTTACTATATTTATATATATTTCCAAAGTTTCAAAGCAGCTCAGTAACTTACGATACACAATGAGTTTGACTTCACGATCAGAGTCCCCTGAAGTGTCTCCAGCCGCATCAATAGTGCAGAAATACACCCCATTATCCCACCACATTACCTCTGTTATTACTAGGTCAGCCTCTGCAACACAGACAGTGATTCATATTTTAAACATATTTTAAACACTTAAAAACCACAGGAATAATAATATATTATAATATGTCAATTTAAAAGATTGAACAAATAATAATGCTATAAAACTAACATAACATAATGGCAATAAGAACATATCACTACTCACTGTTTCGTATAGTTATTTTTCGTTCTCTGTATTCTGCCCCCAAAATGGGCTCATTTAAACCTCTCTTTTGGATCACAGTGCGGACAGTGCGCTGGCGGTCAGGGCAATCATTGGAAGGGTCCTGACCAAGCTGTAGTGCTGCCTGATACGCTATGAGGAAAATGTTCCAATGTTAATTGTGTTTGAGTTGTTACTAAATCATATTTATTATAATAAATAAGCGTAATATGTTATGTATTACATAACATGTAATGTTATGTGCAAACAAACCTGTGGAGTAGTACTCAAGCACTGGGTCTTTGCAGAAGGACTTGAACTTCCAGGATACGAGAACATCCTGAGGGTTTGCGGAGGTACTGTAGTCACAGCGCAGAACCACAGACCCAAACAGAGTTGTTCTCCTCTCTGTTTCTGGAACTATCACCTGAATGGACCAGACACCTAACCCAAGAAAATACAGGTCAAACACAGACAATAGAGCATATTTCAATAAGAAATCATCTGTGTGTTTGTCAAAGCTTTGTAAGTGTGGGAAAAGAATGTGACTAGACTGGTTAACGGTTTAAAGTCTTTAACTACATAGTAGGCATACTGACAACAGCAACACCAAATTTAATTGATAAATACGTATTAGGCTGTGAAAGGATCGTTTCACTTTTAATAGGGAAAGCGTGTTGTATTAGCTCATATTTCTAGATAAATCTGCTGAACATGGTGGAAAGTAATATTTAATTCACAGCTGCATTAAACTTGTGGAAATGCGTTATACGTTGTGTATGCTGAAGAGAGAGGTGATGAAGGCCTATTAATCCTGACCTAATTAAAATATTTTGATTATCGTAAAACTCAGAATGCGGTATTACCACAGACTGTATGTGTATTACAGAAGGGGTATAGTCAATGTGATGCCCAATCTCACGCCCAGTGTAATACAGTTATTACAGCAAAACTGTTATAGGGGCTGTCACGTGACCAGCGCGGCCTTGAGCTATTTACACTTGTTGATAATTAACTAAAGACGGTTTCGACTTGGATTCACAAAAAGCAAAGTCTTTACCTAAAAGACAACCGTAAACTGAAGATAAAACTAAATTCCCACATTAAATAAACTGAATCCTCACCTGTTGGAAGGTGAAGCAGCAGCAGGGCCAACAGCATCAAATTTCCCATAGCGTCGCACAGGTCTATCTTCTGTCGCGGACGACTCTTTTATCCCGTGAGTGCAACAAAGTCCAAAAAGCTTACAGTTTTAGACATTCGCCGTATACCTCCCCTCTGCATCATACACATGTGCCTACTCCGTGAATACTTTCCCTTTGATTAAACTTGTTATTCACAGACGCAGAAAAAACAATAACTCTCTCGAGGGAAGTTGTGCCGTACCCTTCCCCCTCCGGCTTCAGGTGACATCACTGGCCCCGCCCAGAGACAGGTGCAACATGGAGAAACACGGAGAAACATGGAGGAAGAGGAGGAGGAGGAAGCGCTGCTGGCTGTTTGCTCGAGGGAGGATCAATAGGCTTGTACCGAGGGCTGTGCGTGCTGCTGTGTTGATCCTCGAGTACGGCGGAATCTAATAGGCCTATAATGTTTTTCGTCATTAGTGTTAAAGTACTCGTAGAAGCCTAGACACTTCCCCTTTTTGCAAATCATTTTCCTTGTAATGTCTCCAGTGGTGTAAGACAACGAAGTACAAGTAGTGAAGTAGGCTGCTATATTTAAGTAGATTTTTTAGGTATCTGTGCTTGACTGAAGTCAATTTTAAAGTGGATAGTTTTGACTTTTACTTACATTTGAGAATAGGTATTGTACTTTCTACTCCAGTATATTTTTTATCTAGACTGAAAAGTAAGAAGTATTTTTCATTAGATTGTCAGGGTAAATTTTTTTAAACATGTTCGTGGTAACATCCTTACTAAGGGCTTTGAGTTCAAGTTTCAGCTTTCAGCAAACCAAAATAAACAGACAAATTAATTAGAAAAATTAAGATATGAATTCCTATTGCAGCTGTTGACCAAAATCTGACTACATGTACATTTTTAAATGGGTACTTCATTACTTTTACTAAAGTAGAGTTTTTTTCATGTGATACTTTTACTTGAGTAACATTTCCCCTCTGTGTTTGTACTTTTACTTAAGTAACAAAATTAGTACTTCATCACCACTGAATGTTTCCCCTGTCTCTGTGGGTAAAGGTTGCTTCATGAGGGGAGTGAGCTCTTTTGTTGACTCATGTTTGGCCTTTTTGTGGCTGTGTTTGCATCTCCCCTCTGCTCTGAGTGTCTTTTGCCTCAAAACAAGAGCTGAACAGATTTTTTTTTTTTTTTTACTTCAAGAGCTCTTCACAGTTACCACTTCTGTCATTCCTGCAGATTAGATTTGAATAATACAAAGCCATATCTGCCCTCTCCCTGTGCAAATAGTGACTCTGTACTGATAGAGTGCAGGGTTCACAGAGTAAATTCATAATGTTTATTTAGTTATGTATTAATATAATCTGAAAACATATTTAAGACAATACACACACAAGTAATCAGATATTTGCACATGATAGCAATATAATTTAACTGATATATACAGTCACCCCCTTAAATTATCTTTATAATCTATTAATAAAAAACATATTTCTGAAGAAAAACAACTACATTCAACCTTTAACAATGGTTCTTTATTTTAAAAAACAGTGCAATTATAAGCAACAGATAATGAAAATGCAATTTTATTTTTATCGACATAAAAAACAATATATGTAAATCCTGAGATACTCAAAGAAAGTATAAGGACAATAAAAAAAGGCTTTGTTGAGATTGGCACTCAAACAATGGTGGCATTCACAACCACCCAACCACAAACATGATACTTAAAGCACATACTACTCAAGGTTGTTCAGTGTAAGTGTTTATGCTAAACTTTTTCAGTGAATTCAAGTGGCTCATTGGCAGTAACAGGACGGTTTAAGTGGATGGACTGCAGAGCTGTCTGGAGGCCGAGGCTGGTCACACTAAGAGAGAGTCCCTGCTCAGTGCAGCGCTCTGTTAAGGACACAGTGAGACCACATTAGAGTCTGTGCATTTTTCATCTGCAGATGAGTGGCACTAAATTACAGAAAAATCATGTGTCTCAAGTGAGGTTTGTGCAAATGGTCTAATTTACAATTCTGTACAGGCACATCATAAACTCACTGTTAAAACTATTGACAGTGCACATGCTCTGCTAGTCTATAAACTTCTCAAACATTTGACTTGGTGAAGACTAAGAAAAACTAATGCTCATAATCCTGCCCCAGTGCCTCTTTAACACTGGACAAATATTAAATAAGGTAATGCATCTGGCTGAAGATAACAGGCTTGTGTCCAAGTAGTTTTGATATTAAGCATGTTTTTGCTATAAGTAACTCACCAGGTTCCGGTTTCTGTCCCTGTCCTCTCGGCTGCCCTGTAGCGTGTGGGACATCGAAGGAGGAGGCCTGGTGTAACTGAAAGGCCTTGAGGCTGCCTCAGAGGCTCTATAGCTCTCCGTCACTGGAGGCTGTACAGTCCGATAGCGGTCTGTGGTGGGACCAGTCCTGCGGTAACGCTCCGCTTCCCACTCTGAGTACGGAGGTAAGGGGTCGTCCTCCTCTGGACGGTTGCTAGGTGACCTGCTGTAGTAGCTGTCACTGCCTTTGCCTCTGGAGCTGCCTTTGGAGGGAGTGTCACTGTCCTCATCTGCTCTCGCCGCTCCTCTGTCTCCTCCTCGACCCCTGGCCTTCTTCTCCAGCACGCTGGTGAGGTAGGCATCGTCATAGTCTCTGTTTTGATATGGGCGACTTGGACGATCACTGTCCCATGTGTCCGATCGTTTTCGTGGTACAGGTGGGGGGCTGTGCCGTCTCCAGCCTTCCTCTTCGTCTCTGTAGCTACGTCGAGGTGGGCTATAGTCACGCTCATAAGTTCGATCTCTATTACAGCGGGTGCTGTACGAACGGGCAAATTCCTCCAACTCATCCAGGGAACCCGTGCGCCCCCTTCTGCCTAAAGTTTTTCTCTGCATGTGCTCCGAGCGAGGATTCCACCTACAGTAATAATAAATACAGTTAGGATTCTGAGTAACTACAGGAGGGTAAGATTATAGTGTGTGTGTGTGTGAAACATACCTGTTATCTAGTTCATCATCAGAGTGGCTGGCTTTGTCCCACTTGTGTCTATGACTCTGTGCAGTATGAGCCACCCTGGACACAGACTGGTCATCCAGGTCTGCTATGGGAGGGAGCGCCTTCATCTGGACCTTCTGATAAGTATTTCTGAAGTCATGGTTTCCCCCTTCATGAAGAGAGCTCAGCTCAGAGAGGCTGGTGGCTGAGAAAATTAGAGGACACATATTAAGTAACTCGCATACAGAGGAACTGCTAAAGGATCACATAGCTAGCATAGCAACACTTAGTTATGAAAAGGAGACACACAAAACAAGCACAAAACAGGGGCACAAGCACAAATGACATGAAGCCACCTACTCTACTGGCTTACATTGTAGTGAAGCCATCTTGGTAGAGGGAAAATCAGCCAGCTCCTTTTCTATGTAGTACAAGACTTTCATTGAGTCCTGGTGTGGAGTGGCTTTCAGTCGGTAACCACTGCGCACTGTGGATGTGGCCAACAAATACACACAAGCACATAAACATGCAGGGACAAAACAACATGGATGACCAGACAGACAAAGGCTGATGATGTTAGAGATGAACACAGATGAGAGTTAGATGAAAGTCAGAAGACACATTTCAAAGACAAGACACCAACCTCCGGCCAAATTATTCTCTACTGAAGGAAGAGAAACCATTTTGGGCTCCAGGTGAGAAGATGGGGCAAGTGGCACCACAGTTGGGGCCACAGAAGGAACTCCAGGAATGTAATAGGGATACATAGGTATTTGAGCAGACTTTGCCGACTTTGCCATCTTTCCAGCTTCATATACTGATGGAAATATAAAACACAATTATAAATACTGTATATTAATATTAAGAAAACAGCAATACATTATTATGCTATTTCTGATCTATATTCCTCATCAGAAACATACCAGGGGTTTTGTTTTGTTTCATTCACACCATCTCTCACACTCTTCCACCTTGTGATGTCATGTGGTAATACAAGAAGTGCTGCACTGTGTTTTTAAATGTCATACACCTTCATTAGAATCATTTGGTTAATTTCAGCCCTGGAATTGCCACTCTGTACTGAACAAAAGGCAAAAGGTAACTGTTAAATTGAAAACTACCACTGCATGACATCACAAGGTGGAACAGTGCATTTTGAACATTGGAGATATAGGCTGATAATAAAAGGTGACTCAAACGTGTAAATGAAACAAAACACCACTCCAGGTATATTTTTGAGGAGACAACAACATTTTAACATGACTAAAGAGACAATTTTGTGTAATATAGGACCTTTAACTATTTATAGAATCACAATTAAAAGAAAATACAAATTTGAAGAGTACAAATTATCATCAAATCAAAATCAAATCAAATCAAACTTTATTTATAAAGCACTTTTCATACAAAATGCAACACAAAGTGCTTTACAGTGATTAAAAACAGTCCCGCATTTCCAACCACCCAACCACCCACCCACCAACCCAACCCCCGCACCCCCAACCCCACATAGTCAAACAACCCAAACACACACTCACATACACACAAACATGCACACACACACACACACACACACTCACACTCACACGCTAAAATACATAACCGGACACAATAAAATGTGAGGCTGAATACAGGCGAACCAGTTGAGAAAGCACCATCAGAGGAGCCGATTGCACCAGGAGCAGAGAGACGTCCACCACCACCAGGAACCACCACAGGGTCCAGGGGAGAGATGAAGCCCAGGCACCTGAGGCCCAAGCACCATCCCTCCACCAGGAGCCCACATGACAGACCCAGCAGCCACAGCTGACCTCCACTCCCGATGCAGAGGGCTCCTACAGAGGAGACACTGGAAATCCTAAAAAATATGCCTAAGATAAATATAATAAAATGTGTACAATAAAAACAAGTAAAAGTATAAGATTTCAATCAAAAGCTAAGCTAAAAAGGTGGGTCTTGAGCCTACTCTTAAAAACATGAACGTTCTCTGTAGCCCTGAGCTCCTCCGGCAGGCAGTTCCATAGACAAGGGCCATAGTGCTGAAAAGACGCCTCTCAAATTATGAATTGTGGCAATATTTACAGACAAAACAATCAATTAAACACTAATACAATTACTCAGACTGGCTTTTAACACTCAGTAATCCACTTTATTTTATACAGTTTGTCTGCACAATGTATTAGATTATGGTTTTATGCTTTTAGGTTTTGATTTCATTGGAAAATTACTTGACCGTACAACAATTCATCCTTATGTATTAGATAACCCTCTGTCATTTCAATCACTATTTCATCTTTGAACTGTTTCTCCTTACGACCTCTTGTATATAGCCCAGACATATTTGTATTACTATATTTTTCTATAATTTTTACTTGTACATATACCTTTGTATAATTATGCCTTATTTGACACCAGTCCCTTGATATTTTTGCTACTTATTTTGAATTTATTATTACAATGTATATGTTTGCTCTTTGTTATTATAATATATTGTGATGTGTGAGCTACTGTGTCCAAATAATTTCCCTTGTGGATCAATAAAGTTTGTCTAAGTTTAAGAGTGTTGTTAAGGGCTCTATAAATAAACGATGATAGACTGAAGTTACAATAGTGTGGAGTTAGTACCAGGGATGTAAAATTCTAGGCCCTAGGTACAAATCATCTTGGTGGGCCCACTCTACATGTTCTCTAATGAAAAAATGCATATTAGAAGACTCGTTGCATTGGGCCCTGGGTAAACAATACCCTTTACCTTCCCAGTCCAACAGTCCTGGTTAGTACCCTGTATGTACTCACAGTGACGTGGACAGCAGCACGTGTCAGGGCAGCAGCAGCAGCTCAGGTAACAGCAGCAGGAGTGAGGGCAGCACTGGCACCAGCAGATCCCCAAAAGCAACAAGAATAAAACACTCCCCAAGACCACGGAGCCCACGAATGCCCACTCTGCAAGACACAAAACAAAAATAACAGTCAAAGAGAAAAATATACAAACTATAACTGTGAGGGTAACAGCTTTCTGTAACTTTAAACATGTCAAGTACCAGTCAAAAGTTTAGACACACTTCATTAATTTTTCTTCTTTTTTCCAGGATTATTTATTTATTTATGATTCTCACTGAAGACATCAAAACTATGAATGAACACATATGGAATGTAGTAAACAAAAAATATATTAAAAATAGTTAAAACTTGTTTTAAACCCTTTTCCTGGTTTGTACCATTTCAATAGCCTTCATCGTGAAGATCATTGAAAGAAGGTCAAAGGTTTGCAGCACTGTCAACAAAGCAAAGGGTGGCTACTTTGAGGATTTGAACCTAAAATATAAAAAAACATTTAGTTGACTTATTTAACTTTTTTGTCTTGGCTACATCATTCCATACAACTTGTGTCATATATTTGATGTCTTCTGTATCTATTTAGTTTGACATTTAGTTTGAGCCAAAGACCTGACTAAAGGAGATACATGGTGCTTTATTAGAATACTTTAGTGCAGCATTAACTTCAGCCCATTAAGATAACACTGCACTGCTCTGTTACAGGTTTGCACTGAGGCAGGACTGGGGGTGTAAAAAAAACATCCCTATAGAACAAATTTTCTATTATTAGAAAAAAAGGGTAGGAAAAAATGAATATCACAATTTTCTTGGAGTCAAGGCACGATTTTGATTTTATTCATGTACACTTTTGAGACAGAGTCAGCTACTTCTCCTGAGAGTTCACCTCTTGGTTAATTTCATCTGTCACTCACTCAGAACCTTACAGAGAGTACTCAATAGGAGCAGAGCATGAAGAAAGTCCCTTAATTTGAGGATTTGTTTTATGTCACGTCGACCAGCCCTAATTATTATTGCACCTTTCTTTGTAGAGCAGCACCCTGTTGAGTTTATAGTTATTATATCATATAATTTGGGGGAAATATCATATTCAGCTCTACGTATATCACCCTAAAAATATTGACAGATCTTATCACCATCAGCTGCTCTAGATTAAAGAATATCATCATCACCATTAAAAAACAAGTTTAAGTATTGATCTTTACTTTGAACCAAAAGTAATTTAATATTTGTTCATTTAATCAAACAGAGCTAGTTTGCGTTAGTGCTGTTTGGTAATTTTCTTTATTACAATGGCAAGATTAATAAAGCTACATGCAAGACAACAGTGCAGGTGAGGTGGCGTACCTGGCATAATCTCCAGATCAAACTCAGGTAGGAGATCGTTCTGCTCACCTGTCCTGCCTGGAGAGAGAGAGGTAGAGCACAGGTGAGGGCGGGCAGAGGAAGCAGGAAATAAAGCTGTTTGAGAGACTGTTAGATTCCATGCATTTCAGTGGGTTATGTGTTGAAAGCAAAATAATAAGCTGTGTAATAATGGTTTCTAGCTATCATTATTACCTACTTATGAGATCAAAAGCACACTAATCATATCAGTGGTTCAATAATATTTTATTTTTACTCCTACACAAAACTCGATACAGTTAACGGTGCACTATGTAACTTTTTGGTTGGTGGTCTATCACCTGCTTCTTTCAGTGGATATTAGGGTGCATCATTTGCCCAACTTTTTGAAAAAAAAAATTGAATATCAATCTGTATCTAGTATCTTTTTTGTTTTCACTTGCCAAAGTAAACTTCCATGAGAAATGTTGAAAATCAATTGATGGCCCACCAAGCTTCTGAAGTTTAGAGATGAAAAATCTGTTTTTCTTTAATAACATCAAAAATAATTAATTTAGCTTTATAGTATCAATGGAAGTTGAATATAAATATGAACATTGCGTATCATTTGGTACCAGTTATGTCTCTGTCATTATTAGATTCTGAGATATGGCAAAAGTGTCATTTCTTTGGGATTTCAAGGATCTTGAATAAGCAATAGGTCCTGAATTGTAACAAATGTAGGGCCTACAACACATTATGTAACTTGAAATTAATAAATTTAGAATTCAAAGACTTGAAACTGTGAAAAGTATTTCTTATATTATGACTGTCCATTATCAGACATGTGCACTGTAACCTACTTGTCAAAGCATCAATAAAAAACTATTTAACAAATCTTAATCTTTCTCTTTCTCAGGTTTGGTGTTTCGTTTCTGTATGCTTCAACCACCTGCAGAACATTCTGATAATGTTCTTTTCCTCTAGCAGAGCCAATGTCGTCTGTGTAAAGTACAAACTTTATGTCTCTCATTTCATCTTTGGCTGATGTGGATATTGGATAATTATGATAAAAACACTCAAAGTCTTGACAAAATTGTCATATCTTAGAACGTTATGAAGGCAAAGATATAAAATTGGTACCAAAAGATGTGCAATAGCAACATTTATATTCAACTTTCAATGGCACCATAGCCCTAAATGCATTATTTTTAAAGTTATTTGAGAAAAACAGTTTTTTCTGCCAGAGCCTTGTGGACACCGTTAGGATGGAACTTAAGAGGCTTGGAGGACCCAGTAGATATTATTCAGTTGAGCTAATATGCCATAGATTTTCTTTTAATTGGTACTGTCACATTTTAAAATTGGGTACAAGTTGAATTTCTGACACTGGGGCAAATGATTCACGTTAATGGATATGTCATTGCTCTGCCTGGAATGTTCCACAGTATGACATTAAACAGATCCACCTTACATTTACTCAATTATATGTATGGTATTATAGTTCAAAAATACTTAGAAAAAAACAGGCCTCTTCACAGATCTGACCTGTAACTTGGTCTGGTTTGTTTCCATGAAGATAGAAAGGTTTAATATCATACTGTGAAAACTTCCAGACAAGGCAATAAGAACTCCATCGAGAAAAGCATTTGACTGACCAGAAAAGTTACACAATGCACCTTTAAGTTCACATAGCAAAGCACACAAGACAAAATGTGCATAAAGGGGCATGCATGTGAAAACAAAGAGAGAACTTCAGAAACTAGGACAACTGATCTGGGGTGGCTACAAAAAGGCCTCATCTATTATGCCATAGAAGTCATACAATTATAAAACAATGGATCTTTTATACAAAAATAACTGAATGAAATGTGTCAGTTTAACTCAGAAAATGTGCAGTACAAGTCAAATTCTCACTCACCCTCTCATTCAATGTTTTTTTCTATATACTTACTACTTTCTACATTTGATCTACATAGAGAAGCTTTATGGAATTATTTAGTAAAAAGTAAACAACAAACTACAAAATATTTTGAACAAAGCAAAATGTGAGTAATTTGAAGATTTGGTTATAAAATATTCTTATAAAAATGGTTTCTTTTTAACATGCATTGTGTAACGTTTCTGGCGGAGGGTCTGCCATCTGCTTTTCTCTATGTAGATGTTATTGCTTTGTTTGAAATGTTAAAAGAAGAAAGAATGCGCGCATATCAGCAGCCGAGTGCAGGTGCAGGACCAAAAAGATTAGATAAAATAGAAATAATAAAGGTCCGCACATTGTTTCAACACTCCCAAAGTGAAATTTAATAGCATTATAGCACAATAGAGCTATTAAATTTCACGCTGGGAGCGTTGAAACAGTGTGCGGACCTTTATAATTTTGTTTGAAATGTTTCACAGCATGGCATTAAACCTTACTTTTATCATGGAGACCAAACAGGCCATGTTACTAGTCAGATCTGTGGAGAGGCAACCCCGATATATACAGTCAGTTGTTTTGTAGGAATTTTTAAGCAATACCACCTGTAATTTAATAAATGTAAGGTAGACCTGTTTAATGCCATTGTGAAACATTCAAAGCAGAGCAATGATATATCCACAGAAACAAGAAGGTGATGGACCCCTAACCAAAAAGTTACATAGTGCATCTTTCATGTTTTTTTTTCTTTGCTGTATAATTCCATATATCTTACTTCATATATTTGATGCCTTCTATATGTATATCAAAAGTAGAAAGTAGTAAAAATATAGAAAAAACATTGAATGAGAGTCATGTGGTAGTGTGTATTCTATAGAACAAGGCAAATGTGTTCATTGAAAAGCAACCAGACTGCCTTTGGGCCATATTATCTGTAAGACTATGATTATTATAATAACCACTCCCAGATGCCTCTAACTATAGGGATGAAATCCTGGGGAACATTGCCAACATTTGCTGAGTGTGCAGTGATGGCTTTGTAAAGTTCACAGTCTAGGCCTCTGATAAAAACTCATATATTTTGGACCTGGCACCTCTACAGTACATGCCATAGGGTTAGTAACAGTGAGTAACCAGAGAGATCCATGCAGCTATGCAGCGTACAACAGGGAGGCCTTGTGAAATGAAGAGGAAGCACCAAAGTAAGCAGTAAATGTATTATCACAGAAAACAAAGCTCCAAAAAAGCTTGGAAAGGAAATGAAAGAAAATTAAACATGTAGATGTGTCAATAACAGTTCTCCGCCTTTTAATGTAATTTGAGTTAGCCTGTAATCTTTAATATAGTAACAGACTTATTTAATATTAACAAGTATTTTTTCTTTACACTTTGCAACCCCCCTCTTCCTCTTCTCTCCAGTGAGCCATTCATAATCAGATTAATGCACTGCTGAGGATAGCTGCCAGTTGGGGGAAACTATAATAAGTCAGTTCAGTGAAGAGCAATGCTACAGTTAATCTCTGAGGTCAAAGTTCAGCGTGGTTCTTCCTAATTTCTTCCTTTTTCTTAACAAGTCTTTCGAACAAGTCGACGTGGCGCTATGGCAACGGCTTAAAGTTTGGCTTATGCACCACGTGACAACAAAGGTCCTCAAATGTGAGTGTACCACCAATACTGTACTGACAGGAAACAATTGGAATTAGGACAGTGGGTTTAGTAAATTTACACAGTACTTGGGCAACCATGTAATTAGCAGCTAAAAAGCGTTATACCATAAGCCATACTCTAATACAGTTCAAATGAGTCAGCGTCTGCTCTCTTCCAGTGTAGCGCTGACCAAACAATAGTCTGTCAAGGCTCAAGTTAAGAGGCCGTAAAGAGGCAAACAGGACCTGGCTGTTTCCATCGCAACCATCGTACACAACTAAAGATGTCCCATTATTTATGTATTTATGTATTTATTTTGCACTTATAATGCAACATATAACAATAAAAATGGCACACTTGATAAAAAAGTAGGTGCAGGAAGAACCCAAAAGTGCTTATATTCAAGATTATTTATGAATGCATTATAGCTGTGCATTACTTAAAAAAAAATACATTTACACACCTTAGATTAAATAAAGTTGATTCAAACATGGATTAAAATACAATGAAACATCCCACAATTGAATTATTATTAAATATTGCCGTGAAATATCAAACACTGCCATCATGAGCCAGATGTGAAAACTGGCTCCACACTTTACATCAAAACTGAGCTCTTGATGTGACACATTTTGGAGCACCAGTACCACAATACACACAAATCTTACACATTTACAGCTGTTCTGAGCCTTACCCAGTACAAGTAACTCCAGCTGAGCCTCGTTTTTCCCCTCCACGTCATCAGCGATGATCACTTTACAGAAATACACGCCACTGTCTCCCCACTGCAGCTCCCCAATGCGCAGGTCTGCCTCTGTAACAAGACATAATCATTTAACCCAAATATACAATAACATAAAAACAACTTCTTCCTTACAATGGACTAAAAGCACTTAGATAATATTGAAACTAAATTATGACACTGACACAATAACCCTAAAGTAGAATTATCCCCCTAAACAAAACAAAAAAACTAAACAAATACAAACTGCAATAAATAAATTAAGCAGAACACTTCAGTAGTTATTTTGTATCTACTATGAGCTGCCAACGTAAGCAAATTTATTTTAGTCTCCTTCAATTGGAGATTAGAAACTGTACAAACACTACAACAGAAAGTATTGTACTACCCACTCAGCATGTAACGCGTGTATTTGTGGATTAAATTGGTTATATAGAGCAGGTGTTTTCCCAAGATAAGGCCCTGTTGAAGGAGTCAGAGGCTTTTGTGATTGTGTGTGAAACAAAGACAATAGGGAGGACAGGAAACAAAGCACAGCCAGCTCAGAGTGACAGATCTATGGGGTCAAAGGTCATCTGCAGCTAAATTTATCACTCATTCAAACCAAATTCTGCCTTACTGTTAACTATGGAGATGTCCCTTCCTTTATAGTGCTCTGCTAGTGTCATAGAGGCGCCCTGTGCAGACGCTACGATGCGGCTGGTGCGACTGCTGTCCGAGCACTCCAGGTGGGCTTTGGTCCCAAGGTCAGAGGTGGTCTTCCCCAGAGTCTCGGGCAGAGAGAAGGAGTCTTGAGTGCGGTCGCGACAAAAGGACTTGTACCACCACTGCACCACGGGGGTCTGTGTGGAGGAGGTCTGGAACTGACAGGGCAGGACCACAGCCTGGAAGAGCATGGCATACTGGCGCTTCTCCCGCACAGAGACATGGACGCCATCACTCCTGCAGGCTGGCAACACAAGCACAGGGAAAGGGTTATTACTAGGGTTGTAACAATGTAATGACATTCAAATCTCTCGGTACAATATTTATTGCGATATTTTAGAGAGGCTAATATAATTGTAGACAGGACACTTTTATGCTTTTAAAATACCTTGACGAGATTTTGGTGTGAATTATTACTGTCATAATCCCAAAAATTCAAGTAAAAACATATTTCTTCATGTTGTCTGCACTGAGATGAATCATGGGATATGTGGTTCCCGATGTTTATTAGCCATTGCTACTATAAAACCATGCATTTAAGCAAAGGATTCTGTCATTTGATATATTGTGACAGCCCACGGTATTATTGTGAGGCTTTTAATGATATTTTGGTTATTGTTACATCCTTAGTTACTACTAATAAATGACTTATTACATAAAGGACTTATTACTCCAAACTGACTCTTGTGAGCTTTTAGCCTACAATGTTGTTATTTCTTCAAAAACATACCAGGTCCAGGAGTTGTTTTTTGTTTCATCTACACATATTTGAATAATTCTGCATTATTTATCTGTCTGTATGTCCAAAGTTCAAAATGCTCTGCTCCACCTTGAGATGTCACAAAGTGGTAGAGATCAGCTTTGTTAGGTAGAGATCAGAAATTCCAGGACTAAAATGATTCAATTGATTCTAGTGAAGGTGTATGGAGCTTAAAAACACAGTGGAGCACTTCCTGTGTTATCACACCACATCACAAAGTGGAACAGAGTGTTTTCTGTTTGAGAGAAGAACTCAGCATAAATATGCAGGATGTTTCTGATGAGGAAACAACATAACATAAATCAGAAAAAAGCATAATGAGCCCTTTGAGTCACGTGACACAACATTTTACACACCGTCATTTGAATAAATAAACAGAAATGTTCCTCGTCCTCAGTTGTAAAACTACAGAAAAGGAGTCGTTCAGAGATAAACTAAACTAAATTTTTATCATATTCTTTCTTGAGAAATACCACACAACATTATTGAGGAGACCCCACCCATTGTTGCAGGGATCATGAAAGTTAACCCTCCAAACCAAACCCTCTTGTTGCAAAAGACAATTTTCAAAAATTCCAACATAGGGGGGCAGACTCAAATGTATCCCAAGGATCTCTTAAAAATGTCCACACTAGACTACCGGTACTTGAATTATAATAATTGCTAAAGTGTTTCATGGTTACTGATTTATAACACCTCTATTAACCATGAAACAGTCGTCACTTTCCTTATAAGACAGTAGTTTGAAAAGTAACAGAGGGGATTTGGAAAAGTTTTCAGAGTTAGTAGTTTTCTGATATTACAAGATAACAGAAGGTATTCTGGTGTTTGTTGAGGAAAATATGGTACTTTGCGATTCACTTCACTTAGTGCAATTTAAGATTAAGGAAAATATCACAAAAAAAACCCCAAAAATAATAGTTTGACTCATGGACTATAAAAATGATATTATAATTTATTATCTATATACTAGTAGACATGCTAAGACAGAAAACTATAGCATAGTGTAAAATCCGTTCATTTCTTATGGGACTGTATTCCACTTGATGTTGTGGACAGGATGAGAAACAGATCCTGGTTCCTTCCTGCTGTAATGACACATTTAGTTGGTTTGTCTGACTCATCTGTGGAGTTCGTTCGGTACGATAGTTCTATGGCTGCTTGTTTTCCCTTTGTGTAATTACAGGATCCATATTATGTTATTTTCTGATACATGTTATAATGTTGTTTCCTCATCAAAAACATACCTGGAGTTGTGTTTTGTTTCATTCACACATGTTTAACACACAAACTCTGCATATTTAGGCTGAGTTCTCTTTCTTTGGAAAACAGGCTATTCCATTTTATGATGTCATGTTGTAATACATGAAGTGCTCCACTGTGTTTTTAAAGTCCATACACTTCACTAACATCATTTGGATAATTTCAGCCCTGGAATTCCCAATCTCTAATGAACTAAAGGTGCAAGGTAGCTGTTAACTTGAAAACTACTGCTTCATGACATCACAAGGTGGAACAGAGCATTTTGAGCTTTGCTGACATAGATAGAATAATAACACAGGATTACTCAAACATATGGGAATGAAAAAAAAGAGGGATGACATGAGGGCTGTTTTTGAGGGTAACGACATTCTAACATGGCTTAAAGCTCACAAGAGTCAATTTTGCATAATACAGGGCTTTAAGGCATTTGTCGTCAGTTGTGCCACCGCTAAAACAGTAACTTCCAGTGCAGTAAGGTTTGAGGAGTCGCTACCTGCGGCTGGAGTCTGCTTATTATTAAAACAGAAGCAGATTTAGGTGAGCTGGGGGTTCCTTTTTGGCTCTGTACTGGGGTCAGAAAGGCCAAATTCCTGTCTAGGCTCTGTATCTTTGGGGGGGTTGCCAAAAGATTGTGCACAGGCAGGGGGTTATCATCAAGAGAGAGGCAATTCTGTAGCGTAGTAGCAGCTACAGAGGGTGCTTTCTGATGATGTTCTGATAGTTTACCCAATCTAGGTGGGGCAGGAACAAACATCCCCCTCAGTCAGGAAGTTTAAAGAAAAGCCCCAGTCTCCTAGGAACAGCATTTCCTTCATCTATGAGCATTCTTGAATATTAGATAAATATGTCCTATTACGTTCCAGCTTAGTATTTGTTAACCGATAAAAATGAGACACTAAAACTCCTACATTCCTCCCACTCTGACCTTCACTGGGCAGTCTTTCTTTGGGGCTGGTCTATTGTTTAGGCTGTGCTGAGAACCTCCTCCCTCTGTCCCACTTGAGGAATGAGGATGGAGGGCGTAAGGGGGGGTCACAACTTTTGGCCAATGGGAATTTTAGTCCTAGTCCAGCTGGGTGTAAATAGACCAATTACCAGACAGAGATTTCAGACCGTTACTTGTTTAGTTTAATGGTGATGAGAGGACTGTATGCACCGACAACAAGTGCCACAGTGGCCATTATTCCCACATCACAGTAGGGTAATGAGCAGGTTGGGTTCACTTTCAACACCTCATCTAACCTCATATTACGGGAAAGCAGTCAACACTCAGATATATTCAGGTCAGCTCCTGGACGCAGGATATTTCCTGAAACAGGCACAGCTTTCCTCCTCATTTTCCTGCCTTTACTTTGTCATGCATTCCTTCACATTGACTCAATCAAAACGCAGATAAGAGTAGTCTTCATATTTTACCGTCCTCTTCACTGTTAACCAAAGTCTCATAAGCATATTTTCTCAAACTTCAATAAACTAAGATAACTATATAGTATGTACAAAGCAGGCCTTTTTAAGTTAAAGTTTTTATTATATACAATACCCCGCGTGTGACTTAACAGTTAGCAATAAAAGAGTACAAAAGATATTTTATTTAATCATTAACAAAGATATACACCGATGGCTACTTCGATGGAACCTGCGGGGATTAACTCAATCTTTGTCACGACAAAGGAACTCTCACAAAACTGTAAAATGAGACTAACCTGATACTCCCAATAAAACCATCAGCTGGAAAATGTTCATTCTCTTTCAGTGTAAGGTGCTCTTTATCCGGTGGACGATCATGTCGCTGTTGTTACTCGGCTGCGCTGCAAACGGGACTGAAGCCTGTAAGTAACGGGACCGTACCACTTCGCCCCGAGGTGAGGCCAGAGTACTACAGCCAATGAGCGCGTGCGCCTCTGCAGTAGCCGCGGACACCACATGGCGGCAGCACTGAGCACAGCAGCCATTATGACTTTATCTCACAGTGCAAGAAGTTACAGCCCAAGCATCCCTGGCCTTAGTGCTTTAATTGTACTCAAGTAAAAGTTACGTTACTGCAAACATAAATAGCACTTATGTTACTCACAGTGGAAGTTAAAAAAAAAAAAAAAAAAAAAAAAAAAGGATCACAACATGAACAACTGTATTATCTTCAGAATTTCTTTACTGTCTGCATAAAAAAGAACAGGTAAAAAATAAGAGTGCACACATAAAAAAGCGCATAATGCTAATGAAATTATAGGATAAAAAAATGACTCCTTGACAAAATATTTATTGCATTTCTCAATATCTATATTCTGTTTTCTACAGGTTGTCCAGTAACAACTATTCATACCGGCCTCTTTCTGAGTAATGATAACTACCCTCATCAAGGCGATCTCGACTGCCACGATAGTCACCTTGACGATCTCGACCGCCATGGTAATCATCAAGGCGATCTCGACTGCCACGATAGTCATCAAGGCGATCCCGACTGCCACGATAGTCACCTTGACGATCTTGACCGCCATGGTAATCATCAAGGCGATCCCTACTGCCACGATAGTCGCCTTGACGATTACGACTGTCACGGTAGTCATCGAGGCGATCTCGACTGCCACGATAGTCGCCTTGACGATCTCCACTGTCACGGTAGTCATCGAGGCGATCTCGACTGCCACGATAGTCGCCTTGACGATCTCCACTGTCACGGTAATCGTCAAGGCGATCTCGACTGCCACGATAGTTATCATGTTTGTCATCAATACGATCCTTGTTGCTACGACTTTTGTGACTGTCAGCAGTACTTTCCACATCATCATTTAGCTTATCGATTCCTGTCTTTTCACTGTGTTGGATTTGTTCAACAATGTCGATGTCATGACTATTTGGAATCTTGTTTTCTTGGTATCCATCTGATCTCTCTATGTCATCCCTGTCATGAAACTCCATTTCTGCAGGAGACCTGCAAAACAAATAAATGTAGCTTTGTACAGTATACACTGACACAAAAAATACTATTGGCAAATGCTACACATGTACTTCATACCCTTCTGTATACTTGAGCTTCTTCTTCTTCTGTCTGCAGCAACAGAAGATAACTAATGCTAGGAGCAAAACAGCTGCAACAACTCCTCCAATTATACCTGCAGTAGCACCACTCATTGATCCACCTACAAAAAACAAAAAAAAAGTTGAAATTCTTACTCACCAACACACTCTAATTAAGTGATTATTAATTGTATCAAAGTAAATACAATGTCGCATTAGGATTTAACTTACCAGGCATCACAGCTAAAGTGAGGTTACAGCTAGCTGAACCAATACGATTGGTTGATGTGCAAACATAGAACCCAGACATTTCTCTAGAAATGTTGAAGAGTGATAATGCTCCATCCTCTGCAAAAACAATAGCACACACTGCATTTACCGGACCTATGAATATGCATTTGGGGAGGATAAATGGTCAGGGCTCTTACTTTCAGTTGTCTTTGGTGGAAATGATCTTGGGGTGTTGTCAACACTGTAGCTCTTCCAGTTATAAAGTGGCTCAGGAGATCCCTCCTCAGACAGGCAGGTCAGGGTAATATTATGCCAGTATTCAGCTGTTCCCTGAATTCTGCATATTGGTGATGAGGGGGCAACTGAAAAAAAAATCATGTTGAATTGTAATACTTCTTAGGGAAAAAAGTGTGATGGCAAAGGACAAATGTACCTAGGACCAAAAGAAAAGTTATGGCAGATGGTGTTCCCTCATCATCTCCAGGAATAAGGACATTACACTGGAAGTTTCCATTGTCCTCCATTGTCACCTTTGTCAAGTGCAGTGCACCCGTTCGTGTAGAAGGATCAACATCTAGAGAAGTCCTGCCCTCATAACTAGGTGTTACGTCGACTCGATTTAAATTTGAATAAAAAGTTGCCACGATAGTCTAAGGAAGATCAAATTTTAAAATACTTGTTAGCATTAATTTATCAACACTTAATTTAGTTATGAACAAATTTAGGGTAGCTCACTTACCGCTTTGTTATCTCGAACCACTTCCCATTTCAGAATAAACAATTCATAGTTTGGTCTAGCCGGAGAAAATGAACAAGGTAAAGTTATATCGCCCCCTCTTGCAACTTCATACTGTGACTGTGGAATAGAAACTTGTATACATCTGCAGTGGGAAAAAGCTGTAATAAAAAAATACATTAATTCAAAAGCCAAAATCTGTCCTTCACCATATTTCTTGTGTGAGAGTGCGGAAACAGCTTAATGATTAACGCCAGTAAGTTACACTTTAAGGTGTGGCTGTCCTCATAGAAAAAGCAGTCAATAACCATGAGCTTACCTGACAGGATCAAGAACAGCTTCAAACATCCAAGCATCTCAAAAGTCATGTTTTTTTTTTTTTTTAATTAAACACAATTTTGACGGATGCTTTAAGACCTAAAGGAGCGGCTTCTAACCTTCACAGTGAACTCCCTGATAAGGAAGAGGTGAGGCAGTCAAGGAATAAAAGTCCACAGGTATTGGTCACATGTTACTAGATGACCAATGACTGTAGTTTCAGGTCTCCATAATGAAGACCAATAAAAATGAATACGAAAATGAAATGAAATATAATTATATATATTAATGTTTGGTTGAATTGTGATTAGGCTACTAGGTAGTATAATTTGATTCTATCCATATGCAGTCCATAGTTTCATCATTAGTCTATGATTATGCCCTTTTCTCGAAGTTGATGCTGTGCAAACAATGACCTGCAGAGTGCAGTATTGGCCTTCCAAGTTTCGGAAAATTGAAGTTGTCTAAATAAACAGATCTATGCATATACTGTATACCCTGTTGTGTATAAACTATTGGGGACCAGCTAATATGCCCAAAATGAGTACAAAAATACGTACGGTAGGCCTGTGCAGCCTAGTTATTTTCATTTATTTTAAGAGTCCTATACCGCCCATCATTAGGTCACCATCTGCTTACCAAGCGGTCAACAGCTTCTCAATTAAGGTTATTGGGCCTAAAACAGAGTACTATTAATTTACTTATTAAGTCTTAATTAAGCTTCATTATGGGGGTCAAACAACTCGAGCAAAACATATGAAGTAATGATATTTGTGTCTTACATTGAATGAAAGTCTAATCTCCAATTTGTGTGCTGGTGAAAAACAGCGCGACAGTATGTAAATAAGCGAGCCCTCTTCTGTGTGCACACTGTTTGTGAGTGTGTGGAGGTGCTCGGCTCAGGGCTGGGATTTCGGCTTAAATATTCAAAATGGCGGACGGAGGAGCAGCGAGTCAAGATGAGAGTTCAGGACCAGGTAATGATTACAGCATTTTACATATTCATACTCATATTCAAACTGTGTTGCGTACAATTTAGCTTTAGCGGGATGCAGATGAAACGAAGATTGCATTGTTGGACTTAATGTTAAACGTTGCACTTCTTGTGTAGACGGAGCTAGCCAGTTGTAAATTGACAGAGGAGGAAACGAGCTATTGCAGTCCGATGGCAAATTACATGGAATCATGCCTCCCCCTTTGTGTGATTAGATGGCTGTACGCCGCTGCATATTCATACCTCTGTCGACAAATACAGTTTAGCATATTTTATTAGTAATCGTCGACGTGACTGGGATCCATACATGTCATATTTAGATGTTTCGGTAACGCAATTTGACTGATATGAAGATGCTAGCCCGTTAGCATTAGCTCGCCTGCTAACACTGGGCTTTGTGTTGATGCACTCACAGGCATGAAGCTTTTGAAACGGCTTTGCATATTCATTTTTGAGAGCAGCGCAGTGGATGAGCTTGTTTGTTAAGAAGATATTTGATTCTGTGTACACGTGAAGAAGACGTAATGTTTAATGCCATTTAGATGCGTCTTGATTTGTTCTCGGTGATTTTATGGCATAGCATTTTGCCCGTGTCTTTTGTGCTAGAGCAGCCTGTTGTGTTATTCATGCGGGCCCCGCTGAAGGAGAGTGCGGAGTTCAGCATATTCCCTGTGTCCGCTGAAGCTTATCGGTGTGGCAGCGGCAGGACAACAGCGCATTTGTACCGTGCACAGAATAAAGCACAGAATAAAGCCTTTTACCGACCCGACCAGACATTTGTGGCGGGGTATTAACGCCATGCCAACACTCACTTGATGATGTGATAACTAAATGCTTGCCGTGTCTTTTTGTCAAGTTCATAGGGATAACCCAGGGCGTTTTTAAAAGTGAGGTTAACTTGGACTTTTTTTTTTCTGATAATTAGTTTAGATTAAAATATGATATATAATATAAACATAAGTTGATTAATGAGCAAACCAGAAGTTGCGTGGTATTGTTTAACTACACAATATAGTGGTTTAATAGCCTACATCTTTAATGTTGGCTCCCCACGGGAACATAATCTACCAAAGTTTTCGCACTGATTGTACCTGTGATTCCCCCAGGCGCAGGGAGGGGTCTAGAGGCCCACTTCCGGAGAGCCACAATAACAGGCAGGGCATATTCTGTGCTGGATCCAAGGCCGGGCAAGACTCAACTTGAATGCGCTCTTTTCAGTTAAAACTGTGAAGGAAGCTGCAAATTCCAGGAGGTTCTCTGAACAAAGTAAAATAAGGCAAAGAAACTGGTTATTAGTGGTTCAAGTGTCCTGCATTTTGAATAATACTTTGAAGTAATAGTAAAACACAACACTATATTCACACATACCTGTAACAAATGAGTACTTTATGTATATGGAGTGAGTCCTATACATTTCACAATTTATTTTGGAACAGAAACCCATGTTATGTCCTAATCTTTCAGTCTTCTGCACTTTATTGCTTCTCATTTAATCAGTTTTACAGTTCCTCCCTCTTTCCAGCCTTGTACTTCCATCATGAATATTCATTAATGTAAACACAGTTGCTATGAATAATGCATCATTGCAGTAATAAATTCAAGACATGCCATCTCTGCGTACTGAGAAGGCTTCCTGCATGAAGGCTCCAGTCAGACCAGAGTTTTATTATTATTTCTTACTTTGCTAGTCATTTTTAATACAGAAATATCCATTTTAGTTTGATTTGTAAGACCTTACTCTCTGGTTATTCAAGTTTACAGCAATAGGACAGAGTACCATTAAAGGTACTGAAACTACTTATGGTACTGGGGGGGAAAAAGGTAACTTTCCTTTTTGATAGCAGTTTTTAATACCTTGTGGGTCATGGAAAAACATTGTGGAGCTCAACAGTGATCGCCCACAAGCCTGCTCTCATTTCAGAAGTAACTAATGAGCTTAAGACACATTATTTAATTTAACTATCATTCAGAAATAAAAAAAAGCTTAATATATTTCTTGAAATAAAAAGTGTATGAGAAGAACCCAAGCAGGCTTTGACGTGGGCGGGACTCTGGAGTTCCAAGTTATTAGGCAGTGTCCCCAAACTAATGACAAAAACTACAGTCCTTTTTCTTAAGCCAGTGCAAAGTAATTAGTAATACAGGAATATGTGCCAAAAAAACACCATTCTGGTATTGTAAACTTGGTATTGTTAAAGTACTAGTAGTGAAAAATGTGAAAGATCTCCAGCCCAAAATGGTGAGAAAAAAAAATCATGGCTCCCAAGAGTTTGGTGTTTTACCTGTAAAATATTAGAATTATAAAACTGCATATTTTTTGCATTTTTAAAATGCAACAGTAATTCCAGATTCTTGTGTTATAAAAGAAAGTCAAAACACAATTTCCTGTTGAGTACAAAGGGACACACCACTTACAATTCGATAAGACTGATGAGTCTTTAGCATAGCTGGTGCAGAATGTAGATGTGCTAATTAAGTTTGTCGGATGTCCCAGCTCACATTAACTCTCTGAATTCAGTCAGAGCGCCTGTATTATGCTGTTAATGAGATACATATTTAAAATTCACTGCACAAGATCAAGCATTGTTCCATAGCACGATATTTGCAAACCAGTGAACCATGTTAACTTAACACGGTTGACTATGTGGCGTGTTGTTGCATTTAAATGTTTCAGAACTATCTTCAGAAACTTATTTGATATTTAACTTCTCAGTCCAAAATATCTGACAGGGACACTCTCACTCCCTGTGTAATATATTGGCAGATGAGGGTTTAGATCTAAAATGAGGAGAAGGATCAGATTTTACGCTTAAGTCCAACAGAAACTGGTTGGTGTAGGCTGCAAGTCCTCAACATCACAAAACCTAACTTGGAAAGCTTTCGAGTAAGTCCTAAGCTTGTCCTTTGTAGCGCCACCAGACATTTAAATTCTGTAGACACCTGTGCTGCACCAGCAGGACTGGTTTGTTATATTAACCTTCTGAGCAAGGGGAGAAATGACTTTAAAAGCTCTCTGAAATGAAATACTAATGGAATGTAAAGCTAATCTAAATATGCTAATCCCCCAACACTTCATAAACATTGACAGCAACAGCCTCCACCCACTCTTTAGCTGCTCACGGAGGAATGTTGTGACCACAGGGGTCCAGTAATGACGGCCTTGTGTGGGATTAATGTTGTTTATTTATTTGCGATTGAGCGACACCCCCCTACCCCCTCACCCCAACTCCGGACCCACACTCACCACACAAGTTAGGCGTCGTCTGACTCCCTGCTATACTTCTAATGAGCAATCTTAGACATTTTATTAATGGAGTCAGCCTTGCTAACATTCCAAGACCACTACCATCAGTCCCCACACAGCATTCTGGGCTATCGGCGTCCCTCTCCTTGCTCTTGGTTAATTACTTTTTAGCTGTGCACTTTTCGAATAATTGGCCCTGTGCTGCTGCCTCCCCTCCCTATGCCTTTGCTGAGTTTGAGCACTTTTTCCTTCTGTGTCGTTCTTATTCCCCTGTTTTTTATCGTCCTCCAAAAGCCATCCAATTAATATGCTAATGAGCTGATAAATATTTATAGGGGTTTAAATTATGCAGAAAGCTTTCAGAGCTCGGTGTGAAATGCGTTGCTCGCAGGACTTCAAAGCCTTGCATTGCTAACGAGGCAGAGGCAGATTTGCATAGGACTTTAATCAGTTGAATACTGATTATGCTTCATTATGGAGTTTGGGGAGGGGAGGTGGAGATGGTGGAGGCCGCCAGCTGCTCTTGTCGTTTGTTTCATTCCAGCAAGAGAGGGAGAGGGTGAACTTTTCAGAAGTACTGACAATCTTGGCATGCCAGAGAGAGAGAGAAAGCGCCAGTGTAGAGGAGGGCGAGCTATAAGAAAAGGAAATGGAGAGAGAAGGCGCGCTGTTTGCCTAAAACCTTGTTGGCTTTCTCAGTGTGCGTTTCCCAGTGCTGCTCAGTGAAGCGTGAGCTGGACAGTGCCACTGTGTCTGTATAGCACCGCTTGTGTTGAAGTCTGCTCGCTGACCAGTGGAGAGTGAAGGCAGGAGCAGTGGGAGGAGGAACTGTGCTTGGACAGCCTGTTGGCAGGCTCGCCCGGCTAACTTTCAGGGCTCCTCAGTCATGCTGGAAAACACAGGTGGAACTAGAATGGGTGAGTTGTTTTTATTAGTGTTCAGGCAGGGTGTCGACTGTGAGTTCATTGCATTGGATTTACATTTATTAATAATTAATTTAAGTATACATTTTTTATTCTTTATTATGACAGGCCATTATTATAACTTCCTGCATGTCTCCTCTGTGTTTTTTTATAGATGTTAAAGTGAATAATCAGTCAGGAACTACTAAATGTGCAATGGACAGCAGTGACAACACCGGTAAGAGAATTTAAGCTTTGTTTTGTAACGTCTTCTTATGGTTTTATTTCTGTCTGTCTTTTTGCCATAACATAATTTGAGATAGGCTATTGCAATTAATTTAAACAAATGTAATAAGCAAGTAAATATGTTCTTTTATCATTATCTTTTCAATAGGGTTTATTAACAACCCCAAAGTGTTTAAATTTACCTACATGTTAAACGGACTGTGATTTTAACATGAGATATCTTATATTTGTTTGACTTTTGTCTGTAGGAATCCACAGCAATGGATTGGACTTTCAAAGGCAGACGATGCCAAATACCAGTGCACTCACAAATGCACACGCACAAGCCCTCCTGCAACAGGTTAGCGTCCTTTTTTTTCTGAAACTCACATTATCTACAAAGGTCAGTCAAAGTATTAAAAAGAATTCAGTGAAGTTTAAGTGACATATGCCCCACTTCACATAGACACGCGCACAAGCAGAACAAGTTCATTTAAATTAGCCAGGCTCTCTGTGTCGCTTGGCAACAAGGCAGATTAATCAACCCTGTATGCTAATTAGCGCTCTGCGGTTGCTCGGAAACAGATGGCAGAGAATATGCAAATCTATGCAGAATTTACATGCACTGCATAACAGTTATTTTAATTAGCTACTCTCAACTTGGCCTGCACTTCCCTTCTCTCTGAAGGCTGCAGGGTGTTCCTTTGCCTTTTAATTAAAATATTCTACATATTAATTCCTGAGAAACGCGCAGCAGGTAACTTTTCTTTGTAGTTGAGTTTTCTACACATCTAATATGGTTATGGTTCTCTGGTTAAATATTTCTATGTACAATTCCATCTTTTATCTCTGTTAGTCTAAGTCGGAAGATTCGAGTGCTCTTCCGACCTCCGTCCAGCAGAGTGTCTTGCCTCAAACTCAGCTAATGTTGGCCGGAGGACAGATAGCTGGAGTAAGTGGCTTTGAGTCAACGCAGCCAAAATTGTACCAAAAGAGAAACCAAATATAACTTACCATGCCTGTTCATTCTTACATGAGCATTTTTGTGGTACCATCATGGCTCAGACCTCATGTTCAGAATCAGAACTATGCAAGTGTCGGTGAAACTGCTCAGACTCTACCAAGTCAGTGTGTGTGTCCTGCATGTGTACTGCGTTTGTACATGGCATTCATATAGCAGCATAACCGTTCCCCTCATGTCTCAGCTGCACGAGCCCTTTGTCTATTTGCTTGTCAGGAACCATCTTCATTCATAGTGTTGCCACAAAACAACTCAAGTCTAAAAGTTGTAGTGTGCACTCCATTTAGGTTATATACATTTACTTGTTACTGTGTCCAAGGATCTCATAAACAGATGGCAAAAATATAAATTAAAGCTTTATATAATTAAATGCCTTTACGTGTTGTGTATTGTGGCAACATGAGGTCATGTAATGATTAAATGTGGATATGAATAGTCTGTGTGAGATCTATGGTCTGATTGTGTGGTTTTCCTGTGGACTCTACAGTTGACCCTGACTCCAGCTCAGCAGCAGCTGTTGATCCAGCAGGCCCAGGTGCAGGCCCAGCTCCTGGCAGGACTGGCAGGACAGCACTCAGCCAGCCAGCAGAACAGCACCACAGGGGCCAGCATCTCCGCTTCTGCTGCCACTCCCATCACACAACTGCCCTTATCTCAGCCCATCCAGATCACCCCTGTAAGCCTCAAGTTTAGCATTACTCACATGTGTTCCTTCCTGTGGTGGTGTTATTAAATGTGTAATCATTTATTCTTACAGCAGCTACAAACTTTGCCCCAATTTGTTTTGGTCCAGCCCGGCCACCACATCACTACGCCTCTGTCCACCCAGCTCATCATCTCTCCAACACAGCCGGGTCAGCAGGGTCTGTATGACGAGTGTATGATTTAGAGATAGACCAAAAACATAACTTGACTAAACTGCTTTGGGTTTATGATTTTAAAAAATGGACTGTGAGTTTGTAGTAAATTTAATTGACATAATTTGGGGAAAGGAATCTAAATCAGCCCTACATATTGGGCTAAAAATATCAGCAGAGTTTATCTAAACAATCTGCATCAGCCATGAAAAAAAAAAACATATCGGTTGATCTCTAATATGATCCATAATGAATGCTCAAGCTTATTTTTAACCTGTTGTATTGTTCCCTTATAGGCATATTGCAAGCCCAAAGTCTTTTAACTCAACTACCTCATAGCCAAGCTAACCTCCTGTCTACTCAAGCAAACATCTCCCTTGCAACTCAGGTTTGGAAACTTTTCTCTTGTATCACATATTTTTTTCCTTTGTTTCCTGTGCAGTCGTTGGTTATTGTTTTATACTTTATTCTACAGCCTGCAACCCCAACCCGCACAACCACAGCTACTCCCAATATTGTCCACAGCCAAACCCCCCCAAAGCGCTTGGATACCCCCACCCTAGAGGAACCCAGTGATCTGGAGGAGCTGGAACTGTTTGCCAAGACCTTCAAACAACGACGTATAAAACTTGGTTTCACACAGGTGTGTATGTCTCTGATACCAAAATTCTTAACAATCTTACAAACCCGCAACTGCATTCAGTATGAAATTTACTTTGTAAATGTCTTATCTTCACCTGCGTCTCAGTTATTTCATTCAACCACAATTTTCTTTTCTTCTTTAATATATGATCTGCTTTTAGTTTAATGTCTTTTTTATTGGATTGGACTTAATCTTTTTAGTATTTTGTAGCCAGCTCACAATTTGATTCAGTGCAATTTTATGCAATCAATTTGTTGTTTTGATCCACTATGTTAAAAAGTCTTAAGTGCGAACTACTGGAGCTTGCCGGAGAGGGAAATAACTTGTCGGCTCCATATCTCCCAATTTGTCCAAAATGAGTTGCCCAAAGCAGATCTGTTTTTGCCATAGTTGTAAAAATGTGATTTCTGTTTGACAAAAGGTGAACGTTGCGTGTCACCAATACATGAGGGCTAAACCTAAGTACTTTGTGTTGCCTTTTTGTATAACAAGCTCTCTATAAATAAAGTTTGATTTATTGAACCTGAATATTATTAAAATGTTTAAATGGTTACACATCTTCAATTAATAAAAAATATCAGGACAGAGGTACATACATGTTTATTAGCATTTATACAAACACCCGTGAGTGCTGTTTGACCTGAGTGTTAATCGGGTTGACCTGTTAAATGTGGAGTGCACTCAGAGCGACTACAGTTACTACGTTTTCTTAAACCCATATGCTGTTATGTCTTGTGTATACCCTTTGTCTGTTTGTACAATTCATTTCTCATTTTTCTCAGGGTGACGTGGGCCTGGCAATGGGGAAGCTGTATGGAAATGATTTCAGCCAAACTACCATCTCACGTTTTGAGGCCTTGAATCTAAGCTTTAAGAACATGTGCAAACTTAAGCCACTGCTGGAAAAGTGGTTGAATGATGCAGGTTTGCCTCTAAGCCTCCTTGTTTGGTACAAATGGACGACTGTTAACTTAAAAGCCCTTTTCTTTACCTCGATCCCTTTGCTTTGTATCACTGCTGTTTGTGCAGAGAATCTGACGTCCGACCAGGCGCTATCCAGCCCCAGTGCGCTGGGCTCCCCAGGCATGGGCATAGAAGGCATCAACCGCAGGCGCAAGAAGAGGACCAGTATTGAGAACCACATCCGAGTGGCCTTAGAAAAGAGCTTTCTAGAGGTGAGTTACATAGTTTTACAACATGCTTCTGTACAACATTGTGTTTGACTTTGTACTGACTGGAAATCTCTGGCTTCTTGGCCTATTCAAGCAGAACCAAAAACCTACCTCTGAAGAGATCACCATGATTGCTGACCAGCTGAACATGGAGAAGGAGGTCGTCAGAGTTTGGTTCTGCAATCGTAGACAGAAAGAGAAGAGGATTAACCCCCCAAGCAGTGGAAATAGTGGAGGCAGCACCCCCATCAAAACCATTTTCACACCCAACAGCCCCCTGGTAAGTATCATCACAGATACTTCATTTATTCACTTTTAATTGCTGCTGTTTATTGAAGCTGTTTTGTCTTTTAAGGTGGCTAGTACAGCGAGTCTTGTTAGCAGCCCAACTATTAGCACACCCACCACTCTGACAGTAAACCCTGTGATCCCACTCACCAGCACCAGTGTCTCCTCTTTGCCTTTCACAGGTCTGTATTTTAGGCTGAAACAAACAAACAAACAAACAAAACAAGTATCCCTTGCTGTAACTAATGTCTGTTGCCTTAAATCATTTTTAGCCACTACAGTTGGAGTCACAAACACTGCATCCGTCATCTCCACTGCACCTGTTGTAACCACGGCAACCAGCTCTCCATCCCTCAGTCCTTCCCCAACCATACAGGCCACCACCGCAGAGAGCAAACCAGTCTCCCAGGCTCACACCACGCCTGCCCACACTGCGTCTTCCATTGCCACTTCTCTGGAGGCGGGCCAGGTGATGGTGTCTGCCCCGGGGCTGTCCGCTCTGCAGGGTGCCACTCAGTTACCCACCAGCGCTAGCTTTGCCGCCATGGCTGCAGCGGCTGGATTCAACCCTGGTCTGATGGCATCTTCACAGTTTGCACCAGGGTCAGTTTTGTTCTATGTCAGGCTTATTCTGAAGTCTCAAATCATTCTAAGTATTAATCTGAGTTTTTTTGGTTTTTTTTTAATAGGGGGGCTCTCCTCAGTCTGGCTCCTGGTGGCCTTGGTGGTGCACTCATGAACAACAGTACACTAGCAACAATACAAGGTAACTCTAAACTTAAATGTGAATTTTATGGTGGAGGGCTTGTCAAATGCTTTTCTTCATGGAGATGTTATTCCTTTGTCTGGATTGTTCCACATCTGGCATTAAACATGTTTTATCTTCATGGAGACCAAACCAGACCAGGTTACAGGTCAGATCTATGGTGAGGTTACCCTGCTCACAGTATGAATGCCTGTTTGCCTTGGCATTTTTTGAGCTGTTTAATGCTATACTGTAGAACATTCCAGACAGAGCAATAACATATCCATAAAAACAAGCAGCTGACGGACCCCCAACTAAAAAGTTATAGGGTATCTTTAAAGTAATCAGTGATATTACTTTTAAACACACATTTGCAGCTATTTGAAAGTTCCTTTTTTTATTCAGCAGCTCTGGCCTCCAGCACAATCCCCATCACTTCTCTGGATGGTAGCAACTTGTTGTTCGCCAACACCAGTGCCGGTAACACGCCCAACTTGGTGACAAACCTGTTCCTGCCCCAAAACCTGTCACTGCTCACTCAGGCTAATCCAGTGAGTTTAGTGTCGGCGGGGACAGGGGGGCTGCAGGTCACCACTGACACAACTGGAGCTGTGCCTGTGCAAGCCTCAACTATTACTACTGCCTCCAAAGCTCAGTGAAGCCGGCCAAGCTGCATCACAAACCACACCCTATTACATATATCGTGCACTACTTCTATCTCACTTTGTAGGCAATAGGGAGGTCCTTAACGAAATGTGCTTCACTAACCACCGTACATTCTTTTATTCTTTCTATTTAACTTTTTTGCTGCCACCAAAAACAACCTCAATTGATATTAGGGTTGGAATTTTTTGTTTTGTAAATCTTTTTTTAATATATTTTCTATTTTTATTATTCATTTTTCCCCAACGGTAACCATGCAGTTACTGTCTTGTTTTATATGAATCATGACAAATGTTCAGGTAGAAACAAGTCATTGTCATCAGGCTGTTGAGTATGGACAGAGCTCTGATCTCTCCTGACAGTCTAACCCAAAAGCAAATCATTTTTTTAATATCTTCAGCTGAGTTTCTCGCATCACTATTTTTCGACAGGCATCATTTTAAACCTTATCATAGTAGTTCTACTACATAACATTTTAAGTCGCAATTTAAGTTAACTATAATCTATTATTTCAAATGTGGTTATAAGGCTTTAAAAACAGTAATAAGTGGCCGATTATAAAGGTTATCATTGCTTTAAAGGTCAGAGGGACCAGATCTGCTCGTCTGGAAACATTGAGTTTTACGCTGCCTTGGTGGTCGAGTTGCCACTAAGCCTTGTAAAATCCAGATGTAGGTGCAGGCCCTGGACTCTGATAAAATGCTTAAGAGCTTTAGGAGAAACTGCAACAAGCAGTCTGTTTTATACTGGGTGACTGGTGGCCATTTGCCAAGATGTAGATTATTTTAAGATTCAACCTGAACGTCTGTAGTGCTGTCTTCAACTTGGACCAGCGCTGAAAGTCCAATAACTGATGTAGGGCTTGTGGATGATTTTATCATACCACAAGGGTGTGTATTGGCTTGATAGAGGTAATGTATTGTATTTACTTTGTGATAGTAGTACTGTTCTATCTACTTGTGCACAGTATCTGTACCAAAAAACTGGATTGATGAGCTGCAGTCTGTTGCGTGGAAAGAAACTCTTGTCTACAGTCATATGACTGGCTTATGTGCTTTTAAGATATACCAAAAATATTTGTTCAGATATTCGCTGTTTGTTGTTGGGGTAGCTTAGTCTTGTCTATTTATGAGTACAAAATCTTTCCTTGTCAATTGAAAATAGAAATGCAATATTTTTATGACGATTTTCCAAAGATTTTTTTTTTTTTTATTGAGTGTCTCTGAGCATGACCTAATTGGCAGCCCAATGACCAAAAACTGGGATGTTGGTGAACTGACCTTTTTTTTTTTTTTTTTTAATTTTTTTTTATTTAATCTTGATCCTGAACTCAAAAACCTGAGTCTTTGTTTCTTTTCCCTACAGCCTGTTGTTGACTGCTTGTTCTTTTAATTGACTTTTGCCGTTTTGACTGAAAAAAAAGGTGGTTCTGATTAAGTTTTCTACTGTTCAGCCATAAACAATAGCTTAAACCAAAGTGGTTTTCCTCAGTAGTTGTCGTGCCTGTCCAAGCACACAGGAGCTGTTTGTTTCCATTTTCCTCAGTAGGTGCTGCTGGATAAAGGTCACAGAAACTTAGCTTTACCAACATGCTGCTGGAGCTCCTCACACAGTTTAGAAGCCTGCATGCTTTCTGATAGCTTTATGACTACATCCTGTACATCAGGTTTGGTGGTTCAGATCCTCCTCTTTGAGAGACTCAAATTTGTAAATCCATATTTACCACTCATTTACTACCACACCACCATTGAATACCAGCATGTAACCCAAACATGTTTTTATTTAACTAATCTGTAACACCTGCCAAATGATCTCTGAGCGGAAGCCCACTCTAAAGTAGCATTTCTCTGTTCCAAAGGTAAACCGCGGTGGGTCTAACCTTATGCCTGTAAAAAAAAAAAAAAAAAAAAAAAATCTTAATTTTTTTATGTACTACTTCTTGACTGAATATACCTCAGCAGCACTTAAATATAAGGATCACCTTCAGAATTCTGTGTATCGAATCATGTAGAATGTATCAGTGCAGACTTGCCGTTAAAGGCCTATACTGATAAACCACACATGAACCATAGGAACTGTATGATTATCGACTACTGCTATTTCTAATACTACTATTTATGAGATATTTGCAGGACTAATTGTTGTTTTTTATCCTTCTTGCCAAAGTTATAGCCTTTCTCTTTGCAGTTAGGCAGGTGTCTAGTTGTTCTTGTTGCTGGTTTTTCTTTTTAGGCTTCTGTTTTTTTGTGTGTGTGTGACGTATCCTCACAAGTTGAGTTGCCATTACCATCATAGGATGTTACTGAAATATTTATCTGTGGAATTAGAATTGATAACCTTTTCTTAATTCTATACATATAATTCTATATACGCGCTTGTAAGATATTCATATTTATACTCTAACCAGTGTGTTATCAAGACTGAATGTAGTGTTAACATATTTAGATCCCTAAAATCACCCTCTTTTTTGCAATGGCATTTGTTTTTTCATGAAATTTCTTGAGACCAAAAATGTTACGAAACGTCAGACTTTAAGTGCTTTGAGCTTTTGACTTCCTTGTGTTGTATGGAGAAAGCTTCTCTGCCCATCACTCGGCACAGATCTTGAGTTTAGTCTGAAAGGTAGGCTCCGTTTCAGCAACAGATCAAGTAAATAATTTGAGTTGATGTTGATTTAGTTTTCTTTACCAGTAATTTTAAATATGCCTTTTTTGTTTTGTAAAAGGACAAGATCACTGGCTTTCTTAGTTCAAAGATTAAACCTTATCATTTATGCCTTATTGTTACAGAGACATGAGCATTGTAGCATTGTTGTATGAGTTATGAGTGTGTGTGTGAGAGAGTGGGCAGGCAGGAGTCTTCATTGAACTCTGCTTGTGCGTTATCACTGAAACACTACAGTGTACTGGGCATTTTCGATTTTGTGATGATGTGGCTAACTATGTTTTTTGATGTAACAGAAAGAAATTCTGTGAGAAAAGCTTTACTAAAAATTCCAGCAAGTGTGCGTGTGCGTGTGTGTCTGTCTGTGTCTTTGCGTGTTTAGGAAGTGCAAGCTATAAATCTGCATCTTCCAGCAGGTTTCAGTAGAAAGTGGCAAAACAACGTTTTGTATAAAGAGGCTGTTTCATTGAACCCTGAACGGTGACCGAATGATTTGATGAGTCCTGAAGCTGATTGGCCCTGAACTAGCTTTAATGCCTTTTCTGCTTTAGTTTGTTGCTAGTTTTTGGGTAAAATACACAGACATGTAAGTAAGTACCAGTTTGGTAATCGACCACGCTGGTTTGGGGTTTGTAGTGTAGTGCGCCAGTAAGGCAAAGGATCTGTTGTATACCTCATTTTTTAGCTCAAGATTGAGTGAAACCTGCTTTAATATGTATAAAATACAAAAAACACGTTTTAAAAACTCTAAGTACACAACAAATATACACAAATAATACAAGTATAATGTTCCATTCCCACCTGTACTTTGTCTTGTTCTCAAAAGGCCACAAGAGGGAGACAGGATACACAAACTGGATATCGATGAGATCCTGCCTTTTGTTCCTTTTGCCTTATTACTGTACTGCATCATTATTTATTTTCTTTTTAATTTCTCTTGACAGATTATGTGCTCTATTATATGTTTAGAGGTCTATTTGAGTTTGACAATCTTTTTATTATTGTTTTAGCGACAAAGTACAGGTAGGTTTGTGACTTAACATGAGTGTCTCAGCCTGCTCTTGTTCCATTGCGATAACAACATTTTAACCAAAGATTACTAACTTGATTGTATAAGAGTGACACTGTCTTGCCCATCCCCAAACACTGCTCTGCATCAAATTCCAGCTGCCTTCGCTCACCACAGTTTTTCATTAATGTCTGCTCCTTGTGCATGTGAATGTCCAAAAAAATTAGAAGTAAAAATGACATCAACATTGGGCCAAATGCTCTGTGGTGTTGCTAGCAGTGGTTTCAGTGCCTGTGGTGGGGTTGGGGGAAGTCAGACAGAGCAGAGGGGGCTGGTGAGACACACATGTATTTGAACCAGTTTGATAGTAGCTGGGTGATGTTTGCTAATACACACTGAGGGTTTTTTCCTGTGCACATTGTAATGCTCAGGACTCGATGTCTTTGTCTGTCTTTAACGCTGTAGGATCCACTTTTTTGCCCATAATTCTGGACCTTTTTTTTATGTTGTGTGGTTACTTCTTTTACATATGTACACTGTAGTTCCCATACAACATAGACATAGTTGTTGTTTCCAGGTACATAACTGTCCCATCGCTGTCTCCACTCTTTGTTTTGACATCTCACGACAGACGGATCAGCTGTGACACTATGCATCACGGTCCTTCTCTGTTTGGACCGTGTCCCTATGGCAACGGCCAATGGGCTTCAGTGACACTTTGTTTAATGCTTTATTTCAAGTGAGGTTATATGATCTCATGAGCGCTATCCCAAAGCAAAAATCCAAATATTTAACTTTTGACAAATGCAGATACCAAAGAAATCTCTTTCCTGTCTGTCTGTCTCTTCCTTTCTGCCCTGCAGCATGTGTATTAAGAGACAAACCCAGCACTGGCTTTAGTCCTAGCCTCAGTAATTCCAAAGCTTAGATGTATATTTTGGTATATTTCTGAGAAAATAACTTGTGTGAGACTGTCTGTTGAACTTTATTGTTATCCTTTTCTGTCACAGCATGGAACTAATATCAGAACTGTCTTACTCTTGGTAGGTTTGAAGATATTTGTATTTTTGTATGTTTGGGGTGTCGTGTGTAATATCAGTTCAATCCAAGTGACCATTGCTTTTAACAAAATTAAATGCCAACTATGTACATACTGACTATGTATCTCCATGAATGCTTTCTTGTTAACTTCTCAAAGTTCAGGCTGTTTGTAACGAATGTGTTCATATTTCCTGCCCCCACTTTTGAACTCTGCAGTTAATAATGAGTGACTTACCAGGACTTAATTGTAAAGAGTTCTGGTTTCCATCATTCAGAGGAACATTGATCCTACATGAACATAAAAAAGACCAAAAAAAAAATGGGCAAACTTATAAAAAAGCCTGCCTCCAACTGTGGTGGCGTAAAACTGAAAGATTGTGTAGTTTTAAGTATGTGAATCAGGATATATAGTAGGTTTTGATGCATTTGTCTGCTGTATTTTTGTTTTTATACACATAATCTTTTACTGTAACTGTACAGTTATCTTTTGTTGTAAACATCATTAAACCATTTTCCAAGTGTTTTTGACATGGTTTCTTTTTATTTAAGATGGTGTAAGTGGCATAGACTTTTTAAAGCACAGAACATCACCTAAACTATAAACGTAAGGACCAGTGATGGAACATAACAAGTAAAAAAAAAACAAAGTAAAGTGGATATTTTTACTTTTTCTTTACTACATTTCAGAGATGATATCTACTTTTTCTGCTGCATTTTTGAACAGTAAAAGTAAAGTTAAAGTACTTTTTATTGTATGAGCCTTGCTGAATTTAGCAGTTTGAGCAAATCAAAATATCTGTTTTTGTTGAGCAAAATTATTCATCAAAATCATTACATTTGAAGCTTTACTATATTATTATCACAAAAACTGCAAAATTAATTTACTTTTTATTCCTTAAGTACTCAAGTTTTTTTAAAGAGGTACTTTAATACTTTTACTTGAGTAGATTTTTCATGTGATACTTTTACTTGAGTTTTTTTTTTTCTCCCATCCATTGGCTCTAGTTTTACGTAACAAAATTTAATACTTTTTCCACCATTGGTAAGACATTTCAGACACATTCACAAATATGGGTATGTTTTTTTTGTGTGTGATCAGTGATCGTTAAGAATTTCAAGCAGACGAGGTCCCAGGAACAGGCTCGGCCCCTGCCCCTCCGGCAGACTGTGGGCCCTGTGATGGGGGAGAGTTGTAAAAATTATGATTCTGGTAACTTGATTTTAAGACTCTGGATTATATGTCATTGTACCTTGGATTTCTTTTTCTTTTTTTTCTTCTGAAGAAAACACACAATCAGTTACTTAGAAGTGGGCAAATATTTTAAAGCATACATTTTGACACTTACCTGGAATGTGTCAAGCACTTCGTACGGGTCTGCATTTCTTGACTCCCCAAGCTCCTATAAAGGTGTTATAAATTGTAAAAAGGTGTTATAAATTGTAAATATTTATAGCTATGACATGTTGTTGGTGATTTTTTAGTGAGTAATTTCTCACCTGGTAAATTCCACCACTGGAGTCCTGATTATTTGGGTAAGGAGAAAAATATTTGTTTAGTCTACAGTCAATCAAGTGTAAATTTTGTGAAGAGTATAAACAAACACAAACAAAAACTGATATTACTCACAGGCACAGCTTTTGGAACTTGGTGTGAAAGCTTAAAAATAATAATAAAGAAATAACAACAATAGTTAACCCAGAGACTAACAAAGAATAATATCTTCTATAAATAGGCTAACCTTTTCTCTGAAGAACAAGGCTGTTGCTACAATGCAGTAAAAGATGAGGACCCCATCCAGGATGTAGCAAATCATTGGGTCTATGTAAGACAAAGCTGTAGGACATCACAAAAGAGTGACAGCTGTATTAATCCAATCCAATTGACTTTATTAATATAGCACATTTCACAAACAAACAGTTTGTGAAAAAAAAGTGCTGCACAAATACAGAATAATAACAACAGCAATAATAAAATGATAAAATAAACACTCATATTTAGTCATCATTAGTCTTAAAATAATAAAACCAGTAAAATAAAAAAAGAGCAAAATCATAAAACAGCAATAAATAAATAAAGCCATTACAAATAAATACATTAAAAATAAATAAAAGACACAGATATTAAAATTATATTAACACGCCAAATGACATTTTAAAAACGCAAAGTAAGAAATGTGTGAAGCAAGTGAAAAAAGTAAGTAAGTAGCCTATTTTAGAGATGCACTATGTAACTTTTGGGTCGGGGGTCCGTCACCTGCTTTCTAGGATATGTCACTGCTCTGTCTGGAATGTTCCACAGTATGACATTAAACAGCTTTAAATTACAGGTGTTTTTATAGCTCAAAAATACCTAGAAAAACAAGCATTCTGATTATGAGAAATGAGAGAGGGATTGCCACTCCACAGATCTGACCTATAACTTAGTCTGATTTGGTCTCCATGAAGTTAGAAAGGTTTAATGCCAGACAGTGAAACATTTCAGACAAAGCAATATCAACCCCATGGAGAAAAGCATTTGATGGAGCCTTCACCAGAAAAGTTACACAATGCACAGAGAACTGCACAACATTTTTTATCTTCTATCTTCTATCTTTTATCTTTTTTTTTTTTTTTTTTTTTGTAGGCCTAATATTAATCGAGTCATGTGACGGAAACACAGTAATTTATTAAAATTGTTTAGCACATTCAGAGAGTTAGCGGATTTTGAACAAAAAAGCACTAACAGCATGATTTAGGTCGATTTTGACATTATTCAACAGCGGAAAAGAGGTTAAAGTGCGTGAGCTTGTTTGAGTGGGCTCAGGGCGCTCATCATGTCTTCCTGTCATTGATAGTTGCATTGCTTCTGAGGTTTGTAAGGCCCTTTATCTTTCTGTGGTTGGAACAGTAGCCAAGTTTAGCTCAGGTCTTATGAAAAGAAAACGCACAATTTAACGATTTTGCTTTGTTCTCAACATTTTTAGCATGATGCAGGTACAGTGCCAACTTTCTAACTCACTTTTTATGAGCCTCAATTCATGTTGACCTCTTATGATTTTATTTTAAAATATATAGCATCTATGTTTTAATTTAAAATCGCATGCTGTTTTAATGACTATAATTATTAGTACGACCAGGGGTTTAATTTATATTTATTTCTAACAATTTAAGCCCTCAATGCAAATAGTAATCTTTTCTGATCCACAAAAAGCAGACTTATAATTTTGGACATTGACATTATGCTTGTATGCTACCAAGATAACTATCTTAAACTTAAAACACTTGCTTCTGCCTATTATGTCAGAATATCTTTTTTGTGTGCCTGTTTCAGAGCTACAGATAATAATCATTTAATGTTTACGGTTGTATCATGTTTAGATAATAAAGATACTAAATAGTCACAGAAGTTGACCTTACCGTTGCATGAAGTTGGGTTCAACAGGACAAGTAGAACAGACACCACAATCTTAATACATCCCATCGTACAAGTTTCCTCTGCTCTGTGTTGACTTTTAGTGTCTCTGCTGCTATAGATTACCTCAGCACAGGAAGTGGCTGAACTGACTACCTGCCCATCGCTGCGCAAGTACTTCATCAAAGCTTCACCCTGGTTAGTATACAAGACAAGATGTTCAAACCGTTTCCTCCATCTTTTACATTATTTAAAGATACAATGTTAAGATAAACCGGTCAGTAGTTAATTTAGGTAATTCCTCTTAACTCTTGTTTGTTCCTTTTACAACACTTCTTTATATTTAATTTTTTCATCAATTTGAAATTTTGTATGGACCATTATAATTTTTTTTTAAAATTACATTAGGCCTGTGAAGCCTATTGTTGCTGCCACCTATTTATCTACTGTAAAAAAAAATGTACAGTGTGTTATTATTTTTTTTCTGTTAATCAACCTTAATTCTAAGTTGTAAAGTAAGTAAAGAAAGAGAGAGAGAAAGAGAGATACTTTACAGAGCTTGAGGGAAATTCAGTTTTAGCTGCAGCAGCGTACTGCTCTTCTCAGTCGCCTTTGTGTCTCCATTAAAGGTCTCAGTGCAGTTTAACAGGAGGACAGGCCAGGTAGGGTCATCACATCTTTAAAAAGCATCACAGAGCTCTATAGCTAGCTCATTAGCCAGGCTCCTGCATCGTCTCCATGGATACAGGAAATACAAACAACTTTTTTTTTTCATACAATCCAGCAGTGCCTCACTTGTATCTATTGAATTGCACAAGCCGCACTTCTTAGTTGGTTTCAGAAACTGCTGAGGGCGTAGACAGGTAGCCACAAGAGAAGATTCTACAAAGTTTTGTGACCTGTAATTCTCATGTTTAGGGATGCAGTAGCCTAATATTTGACATAATTAGTTTGTGGACATAGATGAAGTCAGCCTTTAGATGTCTAAGATTCAAAGAGAAGAAACTAATGTAATCATTATGTAAACAAAGCCATGTGTGATGAAAATGGCACAATCACTGTTGATTGTGGTCATTGTGTCACTAATTGTGAAAAAAAATCATAAAATTGTGATGTTGGAATGAAATTTGAAATTACAATATCCCTAATTTAGAGACATTTTACACACCATGTTGAAGCAAAATTAAGTAAAGTGAGTCTAGTTAGTAGTTGCTATTTTGTGTGACCAGTATAAATAATTGAAGAGAACCTTTAGGACATGAGCCACATGTACAAATTCATGTAAAATCTTTTGGTGTGTGTTCTTAAGAGAGGTAATGGTCTTTTGGTTATAGAATCACATATATTTGTGATGTGCAAAAACAAACATTGTGTGGTTCTTAACAGTGGCATGCATTAGCCAACTTCACAGGAATTATATAAAAATATTAAATTGTCCTTAATGGATATGTTACAGACAAAGTTGATATTCTTCAGTGAGCTACAACATTCTATAGAAGCCTGTTGTTTTAGGCAAAGTAGTAAAGATCTTTTATCATTTCTATTAAAATTTTATAGAATGCCAGTGTCCTTTAGGCAAAGTGTGACAGATATGTTTGATTGTTGGATTTTATTGCAAATTAAAGCAGAGAGGCTACTTTTGTAAGTCAAGAGTGCATAATAGACTTCCTCATCAAGCTTAAATGTTGACTGTACTACAGTTAGACTGTGACATAGCACCAAGTAGAGATGTTATGATGCCGAAGTGATTTTACAAGTCCATTAGTGATGGAGTACAGGTAAAATATTTTCGGTTTGGTATAATGATGCACATTAACACAAGTAGCAATAATTTAATAATAACTTTTGGATTTAGACTTTTTTATTTCATTATGAAAACATTTTATATAATAACATTATAATGGTAAAAAATTATTTGTCATTCTGGTTATGTTTCCTCAAGCAGAGCTAGTTCACTGTCAAATATCGAAAAGAAGTATAGTTGTGCAGTGCTACGTACAGTACAAGTGAAGACAAAACCATTAGCTTCCATTAACAGGTGTAACTCTAATAACTCCTTTTATGATTTCCTCTTGAATCTGTTCGTTTTTTCTAGAATATACAGTGTGCATAAAATATATGTATGTAATATTACAACTATGTGCGTGTGATAATTGTTGTACCATTTATTATACTTAATTATTCTCACTTGAGTAATAAACAGATGAGGCAGCTGCAGTTTCGAAGGTCACGTGACACTATGCTGTTTTAAGCGTCGTGTCACGTGACGCGGGCTCAGGCTCTGCGGCGGTAAACAGCTCGCGACGCCACATCTCATTTTTCGCGCGTTGTTCGTCACTTTGTTGATTTACTTCGTGAAACCAGAAGCGTTAAATCATAGCAACAGTTCGTTGAAAAGCACAGGTCTTATCGTTTGTGGGGAGTTATTGATAACCCAAAGTTAGCTTAGCGGGACAACGCTTTTGGCTGTAGTTGGCTGTCTGCTGCTGTGTCGCTGTTGCGGTGACACCAATTGCGAAAGCAAACTTTTGAGAAAGCTGTGTACAATGGCACAGATTGGCATGGCATTGTACGTGGGGTTGACCGTGTCTTTAGTTTTCGGTAAGTTAAACTAGCTTGTGTTGTTCAAAATGTGATGCTCTGAAAGCGAAATAACGCCAGAAAGCTGATGTTATAGCTACATTTCTTAAATAAATTATGAACCCCAAACAGCTAAAACTAGGTATGTTTTTATTTTTTATTTTTTTTAAACAACTCACTCAAGAGTTTGTTGTCTCTTTTCAATCACTTTTGTACAGTGTAATTGTTGTTTGTTTGTTATAACAATATTGCCATCTACCGTCAAAAAGTAGTGTTGTTAGAATACTCAAACAGCAATTGTATTTTTGCAGTGACTATTTTGCACCAAAGTTCTGCTGACTTTGTTTCCACACCTGTACCTCCACCATCGACTCCTCCACCTCAGGAGGGCCCTGGCATACCTGCTCAAGGACAATATAGAGCCAAAAATGAGAACGGCACAGTCTGTTTGAAAGCAAATATGGCTCTGCAGATCAATATAAGCTTCAATTCTGCTGAAAACAAGGTGTGTAAATACTTATTTTTGTGTGCTTTGCATCTAACATATTAATCTTTGTTCAATTTTACAGACTGTGCAAAACATTGTCAACCTTAATCCAAATGAGACTTCAAGCTCAGGATCATGTGGCAAAGAAAGTGCCACTTTGATACTCAAATCAGGCCTAAAGACCGAACTTACTTTCACATTCACCTTAGTAAGTTTGTTAAGTCAGTCTGATGTCATCACCTCACTCCTTTTGTGTTCATTAAATTAAAATTAAATCTGTTTTATTCCCAGAATACTACATCTAATAAATACTATTTGAATGGTGTGTCTATTTTGGCAATATGGGCGGACATGAAAGGTAAGAGTAATATTATATACATTAATATATGTTGGAAATTCACCTTTTCTTTTTTTGTGTATAGAGAGCTTTTCTGCCCACAATGACAGCCTGGATTATCTCCAGGGGAGCCTTGGCTTCTCATACATGTGTCGTTCAGAGCAGACCCTAAAAGTGTCATCGGACTTTTCACTTAACACATACTTGCTACATGTGCAGCCCTTTGGTCTGACCGGAGATTCGTTTGGATCTGGTAAATTCCTCTATTTTCCCATTATTCTTAAACATATTTGTAATATCTCATGAGGTGTACATTTTTCAGTGCTGGAATGCATGTTGGATGAAGATGACTTGATAATTCCTATTGTGGTTGGGGCAGCTTTGGCAGGACTTGTACTTATTGTGCTGTTGGCTTACCTGATCGGCAGGAAGAGGAGTCATGTAGGCTATCAGACCATTTAAAGTGTAGTCTCATTTCTATAAAGCCAGTGTGCACAAACTGAAAACCACTATTTTTTTTTTTCTAGTTTGTTTTCCATTTCCCATCTTGCCCTTTTTCACTTGCAAGTTTCTGTAAATGTCTCTTATGATTACGCTGTTACAACATAGATTTAATAATCTCCCATTAAAGTTCTCAATCTGTGTGCATTTTAATGCAGGGATTTAAATACAATTGTTAGTTTGTCTTCTAAAAGGTGCAAAAAGGGATAGTTGGCTATTTGTCTCAAACCATCACTTCAAAACATCTTAACATTTCAAAAACACTAATTTAAATCCTACCATCTCTTGACTTTTTCTGCTGTGTTCGTTACACTTTTAACAGGGGAACGTAAAGAAATGTCTGTCATCTTTCAAAATGTTATTTTTCACAGTGTAGCTATTAGCTAGGATCAATTAAGACTTGATATTTTGGGTGCTAAAGGGAAATTATATTTCACTACAGTTATTTATAAATGTGCAGTAAGCCATAATACCAGTGCCTTTGAAAAGGTTACATGTAGGAAAGTAAACCTTTCATGTGCATCGCTGCTTCTGCCATGTAATGTTTGATATTATGTTATTTTTTTTGTCACTTGTTTACATGTATTGTTTTAATGGACTGATGTTATATCTAAAAGGGAGGTCAATAAAAAGAGTAAATGTGGATTTCAGAATTTATTTTAAGAGTATTTTTTCCGTCAAACTCTATTTAATTGTTAAAGTAAACCTGTACAAAATACCCGTCGCAAAATACAATGTAAAAAATCCTTATGGCAGGTGAGATTCTTCTCCAGTAATTTGTTTTCTGCATTTTTCTCGTAGTTTCTCAATAGTTGCTTTGGATAGGCTTCCAGGTTCAGTAAATATTTTCTGTAAAGGATTTGTAATGCCTATGATAAAACTGCATACAAAAAACAATGTAAAAGATGTGAACACTACACACCTGCATGAAGGTGTGGCAGTCTAGAGTGAATACTCCCTGGGTCATTTGTTTAAAACACTCGCACACATCAGGCAGAGAGCGAGCTCTCAAGATTTCTGACTGATGGTGAATTATCAGAGTCAGAGCAACCCGGAAAAGCACCTTGGAGCCTTCATAAAAGAGACAGTCCCAAATACGCAACACAGTCTGTAAAACAAACAACCCTGGGTCAACAGTTGGCTAACAGCATTTGCGTACAGATTGTTTTCCCCACCTCTATGGGAAGAATGTCAATGTACAGGCAAATGAACCAACGAGAGACCACCAGCGTCCATATACCAGGATACTGGTCCATAAGCTGACCCACAGCTGGAGCTTTAGCCTTCACAAGTTCACCTAGAACTTCCTGGTCAGTTTTCAGACCCAGCATATCAAGGCTGTAGTAGTCTACAATTGTTCATTAGAATGAAACTATTGGTGCAAACTCAAACATTTTAGGCATTACTTAAAATGGACCTTTAAGTACCAGGGAGTATTCTGTCCAACAGAGCATCCAAGAGCCAAAAGGATTTCTCTTCATCTTTGGTGATTAAAATGAGATATCCAGCAATAAAATTCATTCCCTGATAAAGAAAATACAGATATACACGTTACAGGCAATTCAAACTGACCACCTGCTCAGTATAAATGACTGCTGAGATTTGGTACTGACTGTGCTCCAGTAGCCTTATTTTACTCAGGGATATGGGAAACTAGATTGTCTTGTTTTAAAGCAAATGTCAATGTCAATGTGTTAAGTAGCATTTCTTTTTTACCTGACAGTATCCTACAATTTTATTGTGGTGTCCGTATGCCACCAGGACATTGTACAAAGCTTTTTGCAAGCATGACTCCGCTTTGGTTTGAAATAGGATGTTGTCAGGGAACGTTCGATGCATGTCTGTAAAATGCAAACATTTATTCAGAACAAATATTTTTTTATATAAAAACAATAGGTCTTACCTGTGTAAATAGTCTCTTCAAGTTTAGTGTCATGCTCAGCTGCCAGTAGTGACTGGTAATACCCATTGTTACTCTCTTGCTTTTCCCGGGCACCACTTGCTGCCATCCAGATTCTGGCACGATGCTCATTGGGCACACCTTTCCGCACAAATCTCTTTACTTGCCAAGAAAAAAAACATGCATTTTATATATCATATATGTGAGAGCTATGATTTGACCTTTTGTTCAAAGTTCACATTTTGAACATGTCCAGGAGAATTGATAAGTAGACTGAAATATGAACAGACAAACTACAAGAATCACAATTCAGAACAGGTTTAGCAACTTTTTATGCAGAATAAAACTGGTTATTTTGTGGTTTGTGAAGTTATTTACAGTACTTCAAAAATTGCATCCTTAATTTACTAATTGTGTCTATTCAAATTACAATTTCAATTCAGTTATGATGAGTCTTGCAGCCCTATCTGTTTGTGATACCTGTCATGTTCTTCTCAACATCTGGTTTCTCCTGAAGCAGTTGGGACCATCTTTGTGACCTTCTACTGAGGACTGTGGCATATGTATCCATCATGTCTTTGTAGCTTTCAAAATCATGAGGTCTCTCGAATCCATACAGGTCAGTCCTGCTGCACAATTGAGAAGCTTTGAAATTACTGCTCAAAGAAGCCTGATAGGACCAAAGTGGGATTGTGTTTCATCCCCATACACTATTCCCTAATGAAGGAAAACTAGCAGCTTGAGCTGGGTAGGGTTTCTAAGGACAGACAGATCAAATACCCAAGCGGAGTGAGTGTTGTTTTAAATTACAAATAGAAATAGAAAAGTAAAAAAAATAAAATGTTTTACCTAGTTAAAGGTGTATAGTTAATGGATTTACATGAAAAAGCAATTATACAACAAGCTCAAAGAAACTGAAGCAATAAACTATAACAAATAAGACTTACTCATTTGAAAGAGGCTCAGAAACAGTTCCTTCCATTTCTCTGGCCATTATTTGCTCCAGATGCACTGATCCCTTGGTCATTAGTTTACAATTTCAACCACTTGAAGAGAAATGCCTGCAGCCATGGCAAATAACAAAATGTCAACTGAGTATGTTACCTGAGTGCAGAAGAGGAAGGGCTTCTGTAGGGAACGCCCAGTAGGCCTGCACCTGAGCACAGCATATTTGCATGAAGGAGTGGAAAATTCTAATGCTCTAAGGGGCACATTTACTAAGCCAGGTACTAAATTAAGAGTGCAAACTAAAAAATAGCATATGCATATTTGTGGGTGTGTTGCCTCTGTTTTACCATTTACTATACCAATTGAGCCTCTTATTCCTACTGCAATTCTAATATGACACAAGTGAGGAAAGAATGGAGCATGAGATTGGCAGGTGGCCTGTTGAAGCAAAGAAGGAGCTGAGTCGAAAGGCAAAGCTCTTGATTTATTGGTCAGTCTTCGTTTGTACCCGCACCTATGGCCATGAGCTTTGGGTAATAACCGAAAGAACATGATCATGGATACAGGCAGTTGAAATTAGTTTTCTCTGCAGGGTAGTTGGGCACTCAAAATGGATCCCCAAGCCAGCTGAGGCTAGGGGATCTTTTCTGGATGCCTCCTGTGGAGGTGGTTTAAATTTTCTATTTCCATGGAATCATGCAGGTGTGCCACCTCCCTTACATGCCTGTCACGTGTTCAGAGTGAACCGCTGTAATCCATGAAAAGCATGGGGCCCTGGTGTGAAAAGGACGATTCAACTTGTTTTATGGCAAAGTCTGTTTCTGATAAATTAGTGAGGCATAGTGATGCCATTGGTAAGCTTATTTTGCATGGTTTTAGCAGCTGCTGTCACTTCAAAGAAAAATAGCTGTCCTCTTGATGGGTTGTGCTTTGCAAAGTAAAACTTATGTAAAAGTGGAAGTGAAAAAAAAAGCAGGTTCCACCTGAGACCATTACTGTTTTGAGGGTTTGTCTTAATATTTACTCACAGTGAAGCTGTTTTGTTTTATTTCAACAACACAAAAACTGAAACTCTTCAATAATCCCTTCAACTGACCAGGTCAATGCTCCAGAGGTTGTCATTTGGCCCTCAACTCCAATTAAAAGGGATGTTCTTTATATTTGTGAGTATATTGTTTATACTTTGACACAGAAATAATTTCAACAAAAAGCCTAATGCTTTTGTGATAATGAAAAACTCATGCTTTATTCATTTTGAATGAACAATATACTTAGCTACTTACATGATGTATTAACAATATTCAAATTTTCACTACCTTCAGTAACACTGGAGATGGGCTCAACCAGAAAACATATTTGACAGGTGTTGTTAAGGCAAACTGTCCTGTTTATGCCCACTTTAGTGTCTTGCCATTATGCCATAACAGATATGCATCATGCAATCCTAAAGGTCTGCATTTATTAAACTTGTCAATCCTGCTTAAATTAACATCTCTGACAGATCTACTTAGACAATTAAAAATAACTTCTTTACATTCAGAAAAAATAGGCTGTGATGTGGTAAGACTGACTACATGACACCTGTTCCCAGATGAGCCTGGCACACATAAGCGTCACAAACCAACAATTCAAATTAAAGCACTTTCTTGTGTGAAAATCTATTATTGAAAACTGCCCAAATTATGTAAATGATTTAAACATGCTTTCATTTAGAGGCTCACAACTCCTTGACATGACAAATCCATCTAACAATAACAGCATCATCCACAAATATTGAGGCATCCTGTATGAGATTTCAGCATTTACTGTACATAAAAGAATTGTGTATTTATAAATTGACAATTATATTATTCTTCATATAGCTCTCTGTAAACTGTCCCAATAGATACAGTATGTACAGTAAAAACTGCAACAGTCCTTGTGCTGGTGTAGTGAGCACTATGTCCCAACAATAAGACATCAGAGCTTTGCACAGTCACCCAGAGCTTTACAAACATAACAAAGTTGACTTAGAAGAATCTTAAAACACACAATTTCTCGCCTTGGTTTCTTTCAGGCAGACCCAGTAACCTCCTTTCAGAGCTGCTGTCATCACAGCTAACGTGCGGAGTCCTGGCAGGCATGTTACTCTCATCCAGAGGCGAGGCAAAGGTACTCCAGGATAATGAGCTTCCACCATAGAAAAAAGGTGTCACTGGCGATGTCCAACCCACACCTCCGACTGAAAGGACAAGTATGTAGCCAGTTTTTTTCAGCTCTCTTTGAGGTGGATTCCTGACAGCTTCAAGTGCTTCTGTTTTTATGGTGAAGTTTACAAGTTTTGTTTTTTGTACAAGTCTTAAAAAACTATGAAGTCACTGTAAAAGAAAACAACCTGGGCGCCCAGAGTTGGTATATAAATTAGAGAGTTTTGCGTTTTGATCCTGTAACGATAGGTCGTGCAAATTCCACAAAATCATCTATAAGGACAGGCCATGCTCCTAAAAGAGAAGTAACAGAAAATTAACTTTCACATTACTTAAAGGAGATTTGCATTTTAAAGACACTCACCTTCCTCGTCATAGTTGGACATGTCATCTGCAATCATGTTTCCAAAGTCCAACAATAGATTCCATGTGTCTTTAGGGATGGATCTTTTATGGTGTTCCTAAAATGAATATGAGAAAGTCAAAAAGACAATTAGGTGCAAGCGGTAAATAACATCAAGATACATCATGGACTTTGGAAATATTTATTGTGAATCACCAATAGAAATTTATTCCAAAGGTCAAGGAACTTAAATCGTTCTGAAAGAACAAGCTTCCAGTAAGCTACAGCCATCTCCAGATCTGCAAAAAGAAAAAAGTTGGGTTGATTGGAAATATCTCTAGAGGCGAAATCACACCCATGTTATAGTCCTTACCTAGGCCTTTTTGTCCAGGATTCTTTGCAAAGTTAAAGGTGAACTGATAAAAGTCCTTAAATTTCCCACTATCTTTAAGTTCTTGCTCTAATCTTGGCAAAAGTGCCTTCAACTTTTCTGGACTGTCACATCTAGGAAAAGATTTAACAAAAAATAAAACAGGCTCAGTTGTTTGTTGTTGTTATTTGCCCCACAAATGTGTCAATGCAAAATAGCAAACATGATACATCAACAAACGAGATGTCCAAATGTACAACAGCTATTGCAATTCCTCGTTTGAAACACTCCAAGCATTACAGCCACAGTTTAGTGAAACTATAAATAGAAGCCCTCCCTCCAAGGCAGTCACTAAAAAGAACTTCCAAAGATACCCTGAGCACTGTTTACGTCCATGAGATGGCAGCCATATCAGAAACTAGTAATGGTAACACTCACCCCAGCTCAGTCATGCCATCTATAAACTCCTTTTTGGTGAATTCACACTGAGTGGCAGCACGAAATTTCCAGGCAACAACAAGTACAGTGATGCTCGTGGGATCCAACGACAAGTCGTCGCAAAACTGTTGAATTCCATCTATACCAATCTTATTTTCATCCTGGGGATCTATAAAAAAAAAAAAAAAAGAGATGTAAATCAGAACTGTTGACTAATGTCAATTACTGCCCCAAACCGTACCTTTGTAGCGATTGTAAAGCTGCTCCAGCTTTTTGCGGTCTACTGATGTTTTCATAGATTCCTTGCAGTAGAGGTCTGGATTTTGAAAATAGTTGTCTGTAGCAACCTCTAGTTTCCAGTCATTCTGTGTTAGGCAGTACACGGCTGTCTTCTCCCCAGCCTGTGTAAAGGACATGAACTGCCGTACCTTGTCCCTTTGCGAAGACTTCAGCTTATGCTGTAGAAGCACAGGACAAGGGTTGTCAGGCACCGGGGTTGAAATCAGAGCCAGCAGCAGAAAAATACATAGCAATGCAAAAAACGAAACACACAACAAGGTACATAGATCTATGTACATTCAGGAAAACGTTGTGTAAACAACTCTCAAAATCATACTTCTATAGATCACTCTATGACCTCTAACGTTCACAGCTCATATAGTGTCACTGCTTATATCCAACTCAGAGACAGCATGGGCATTTCCAAAGATATGTTGTGGATTCTCAAGGCACATGCTGTACCCCCTCCCACTAAAGCTAGACGTAACATGAGTAGGGGAATTAGATGCCATCATGAATGTGAAGTGCTACAAATCTCTGCCACGAACATTTAAGAAAACACACTGATCTGTCCTCCATTAAACACACTATGTGATTAAAAGAAACGCCATACTTAAGTGTTATCAGAGTTGTCAGGACTCTTAACTGAGGATTGCGTTTCCTGAAATCGGAGATAGGCATCAATGTAGAACTCGTTGTTTGGAGAGCCTTTTATATTGCCTTTGAGTAGTTCTCTTTCATTTACAGAGTTTTAATGGCTCGATGTGTCGGTAATAATGCACTTATTAGACTGGCACTGTTGTTAAGCGACCCCTCTGCATGCACCTAGTGCTAGTAACTGACTAGCTAGCGTTAGCAAAATTAGCCAGAACGTGCAGGCAAAATGTATGATAACTTAATAACAGACACAAACTGACAGTATGATTCTGCAATATTGGATACTGTGACGGAACCTATAGTGTATAAATGCTTAACACTTGCCATAAACGAAGTTACTAGATTGACTAAAACGGGACGAGGAGCTAGCTTGGCTGCTCTCAAAATATCACTGACCTTCCCTATAACAGCAGTGTACCAAAGAACTGTCCACGGCAAGCTTAAGAAATGGAAGACATTGTGGATTTTGGGTATCATCTCCACACTGGATATGTAAATGGAAGGGAGCCAAGTCCTGCGATTGGCTTAATGTTTATTTTGGTTACCTACCATTTTCGCACCGCTGTTTGACCAGTTTGAGAGCCCAAGTATTGTTCATGGTACGCATGCGCGGAAGTGCTCATCCAGAACAGCCATGGCATTAGAGGAGATGCCTTTATTTCTCAGGCTTCGGTCCCCAACTCTCCAGCATATTATTTCACATTAACACATATACTAAAATAACCGGTCAAGTCAAGAAAAACAATATTTTGCTTAGGGTATGGAATAAGTCACTTCCTTAATTCCAAGAAGGCTACGCCATTTCACACTATAACGCAGTTTTCCTTTAGATAAAACGTGTTTTTCCTCATCATAAAATAAATAAATTATATCATTATTATCATTATGGCTAGAAATATGTGTTGACTTATTCCTGTAACAAAAGAAAAAGAAAAGAAAATCAACTTCCATTTAAAGAGGCAATATGTGAATACATTTATAATAATTAGTATAATAATTAGGTAGTATAATATCATAATTACACTACCAGTCAAAAGTTTGGAAACACGAAACATACGATATGGAATCTAGCAAAGGGGGGAATAAGAAATAACATATTTTATATTAATATCCTTAAAATAGCCATCTTTTTTTTTTTTTTTTTTTTTTTTTACAGCATTACTAACTCTTGGCCTTCACCTTGTCTAGGTCAAAAGCAGTGATAAAAGCTATTTTAAATAGCTAACATCTAAAAAACAGTTTTGAGATATTTTTAATTAGTTAGTTAGTTAGTTTTAGTTAGTTAGTAGTTAGTTTAGTTTCTAATGTCTTCAGTGAAGATCTACAGTGTAAATTACAGCCTAATGAAAAGAGAATGTACTTCCTGCAGCAGCGGAGGAAAGCCAAGGTGCCAGCCCAGATGATGCAGCTCTTCCTAATTTTGTTTAATTTAACTCAACAAAACAAAACAAAATCTACTTTAGTCTACTTTTGTAAATCTACTTTAGTTTTAGTCATCATTGTTTGTTGTTGTTATTAAATCAAGCCTAAAATAACCATAATGACGTATTGGATTACACGTTCGGTCATGTTGCTCTACATAATCAGTTAATGATTGAATTTATATTTTTTACTCCCTCAGAAAGAAGTATCTTCTTCTACCAGATCTCCCAATGAAGTTTTTGTATTTTTATACAATTTATACGCTTTTTCTACTGAACGAAAGAGGGCACTGTCCTACAGTTCAAGGAGCCACTGGTTTAAAAAAAAAAAAAAAAAAAAAAAAAAGACAGTTGCTTTCGTCTCATTGACGCTGTCCAATCAAACGAAGCTACAGTGAGGCACCGCCAAGATCCGATTGAGAGACGCACTGTTGTAGTAGCTTAGCCTCGAGTGGATAGTGAAGCTAACTAGCCGCTAGCTTGTGTGTTGACTACCCCGGTAAGATATATTTATATGGCCTCAGGTCAAGTTTAATTTACACAAAATGCAGCCCGGCTAATCATCGTTATGCACTTTTTTTTTTAAAGAGCGGTTATAATCGGCTGTGTTAATCGTGGCCCATACAACGCTGTATTTACTGCAAAATGGTGACAGCTGGCTTGTGTTAGCTTCCAGCCTGCTCCTAGCCCATTATCACCGCGAGGCGAACAAAGCGCAGGCTGTAGAGCAGAAACCGCACAGACCGTGACTCCAGAGCATCTGCGATACTCAATGTTGACGGTCGGGAAGATCTGTATTATATAATATGTCTATGAACTTTACCACAAATGGTTATTTGTGTGGTTATTAGGTAACCAGTGCATTAACTTTGATCGGAAAGCGGAAGTAAAGTTTAATTAAAAATTGCGTGTTATATACCGATATTATATCAAAACATGAAAACACGGAGGCGGACAACAAATGATTACGGTGTGTTGGTTTAGCAGACTACACACTCAACTTTCATTAGGTGCAAAAGACATTGCACATCGACACACAATTGATTAATAAACCAATACAATTATTGTAATATGTGCGTCATTACTATGAATGCGAATTACACAGAAACTGCTCTAAAAGCCCATGAAGTCTGTCATGTACCGGGTTGGATTTTAGTTAATAGTATGATGTTTCTGACCTAATATCTGCATTTTTATAGAAGTATCTTGTCCCTGCCAAATAGTATTATAACTTGTGCCATTTTATTTATTTCTGTAACGTCAATAAAAATGATTTGTTGAAATGACTTTGTAAACAATTAAAAACAGTTACCCTGTACTAAAAGCATTAACAAACTCATTTAAAGCCTATTACTGTAGTTTCCTGTTTCTGTGAGGATTTAGACCTCCTCTTCCTCCAAACTCAATGCCAACAAAAACAGCCGTCGAAGAAGCAGAAGAGTGCACTCGTAAGTGCATAGAACAGCTATACTAATTTGTTGCAACACGTAATATTCTGTCTTTTGCAAATTAATATGTGGAATAGTAGAGTTACATTAATCCATGCACCAAACGTCAAATTCGAGCAATTATTTCAGTCCGTGCAAAACATGCGCTAGCTTGCTCAGCTAACAGCTAGCAGAACAGTTAGCCTTGTGTATTGAACACACTATATTGTATGTTTAGATATGTGTAAAGGTCCATTTGGATAGCATGGTATTCAACCTTTCTCCAGTATTTTCCGTAGCACTGATTATGTCCACACTAAATGTCGACTCTTTAAAGCATGCTTCAGGACATGAAGCAAAAGTTCCAGACGAGATCGATATCTAGTACAGGCCCTAGTGCACTTAAATCATTAAAAAAGTTGAAATGTTAGTGTTTTTGGATGTTGCCAAAAGTTGGCAATCAAATTTGGTTACGTTACTTGTTTTTAGATAGGCTTATTTGGAAGACTGCAATTTGGAAAAATGAAACTAATTGATTGCAGGGCATAAATTTATCACCTAAAATGAAAAGTGCATTTCCTAATAATCAGTTTATACTGTGTATTTCAAGGGCTTGAAAAGTGACAAACAGGAACTTACAGTTGTACAAAAGCTTAACTCCCTCGGTCCTTTGGGATCATGGCTAAAGATGTAAGTAATGATAATGACTCATCCTTTGCCTCAGATGTGTGTTGTTTGGTTTTCATTCATATTTCTGATTTGTTAGGCTGGTCTTATTGAAACAAATGGAGAGCTAAAGGTTTTTATTGATCAGAATCTGAGTCCTAGTAAAGGTAAAGTACATTATGCTTCTGATAAAATGGAACAATACACTGAAATGTGTGTCATATAATGAAAATGATAATCATACATTGTAATTGATATTCCACTACTAAACTTTATTTTTTCCCTGAAATAGGTGTCCTGTCCTTGGTTACTGTTCAGCCCACAGCTACCCCTGTGGCCAAGCAATTACTTCCTAAAACACTTGGGCCGTCAAATGTAAACATTGCTGCACATATGCAACATATTCCACACATGGTAAGTTCCACACATCTGTATCAGAGTTCTTACAGGTCACTGTGATTGCTCGTTGATAGACCTTGCATGTGCAATGACCGGACACAGGAAAGATAAAGACACTTGATCCTAAGCTTATCAATTCTACAGTCAGCAGGATTATATCCATCATCTGATTATGTGTATAGACAGTATACATAACAGATTTTTATATATCGGCAGTTTACAGTAAATTTAGTTACTACATTATGTTTATAACATTTGTTTTTATTTGTGTATTTTAGGTAATTGGAACACCACAGAGGCCAACTGTATCCAACACAATATTGGTAAACAGTCCACATACTCCCAGTTCTCAGTTTCTTACACAGAGCCAACCACCAGATGCCTCTCCTTGGTCATCTGGGTAAGTGTCTGCTGTGCCAAATTCTTGCAAAACCTCTTGCTGTAAAAATAATAACAAACAAGTTTGTCTTTAGTAAACGTGGCAAAAAAGGAGAGAAGAATGGCAAAGGCCTGAGGCACTTCTCTATGAAAGTCTGTGAAAAAGTTCAGAAAAAAGGAGTCACAACCTACAATGAAGTGGCTGATGAACTTGTTGCAGAATTCAGCTCTGCTGCAGACAACCACATGTCACCCAATGATGCAGTAAGTTCTGTGTATTTTTACACTTTAACCTGGACTAGAGCCCATCAGTAACATCTTGGAATTTCAATCTTGTATTGTAGCATGTGTATGACCAGAAAAACATTCGGCGGCGTGTGTATGATGCACTCAATGTGCTGATGGCCATGAACATCATCTCTAAAGAGAAGAAAGAAATCAAGTGGATTGGGTTGCCCACTAACTCAGCTCAGGAGTGCCAAAACCTTGAGGTAAGAATACTTAATATTGTGACATAGTTTTCAGAATTGTGTTTTCTTTTTTAGGGATGTTATAAAAATATTATGTTAAATATTTAGGTGGAACGACAAAGGCGGCTGGAAAGGATTAAACAAAAACAGTCACAGCTTCAGGAGCTCATTCTACAGGTGTGAATTTGTATCACAGAAGAGAATGTATTTCTACCTCAGGGAAGATGTAATCACAAACATTTCTTTTTGTACAGCAAATAGCTTTCAAAAACTTGGTGCAACGGAACAGACAGACTGAACAACAGGCAAATAGACCTCCACCTCCAAATTCAATAATACATCTTCCATTCATTATTGTCAACACCAGCAAGAAGACCGTGATTGATTGTAGCATTTCCAATGACAAGTATTTGCTATGTTCAATGTTATGCAGATCTACCAAATCACTGAACACCATTTAACTGATCTTTTCTTTTTGCAGGTTTGAGTATTTGTTCAATTTTGATAGCATGTTTGAGATCCATGATGATATTGAGGTGTTAAAACGTATGGGTATGGCTTGTGGCTTGGAAGTGGGAAAATGTTCACCAGAGGACTTAAAGGTTGCACGCAGCTTGGTGCCAAAAGCCCTGGAGCCTTATGTTATTGGTGAGTATCATACACATGCCAACTGCTGTTCTGAAAAATGATTTGAATTGCATTTCCTTCAAATACATATTACAATTGTAAAAACTAAAAGAGCGTATATGCCTTAATTACCCTCTCAATTACCCATAGTACATTTCTGTTGGAAATTATTTACATGTCTGAATTTGGTAGCACAGACAACTCCCCACACGTCTGCTTATTATTAACAAAAAATAAATGGTGCCAAACAACTTAAATTTGACATCAAACCCAGTGGAATAATTTGAGTGATGTGTATGTGACTGTCTGGAGTGTGTGTCTTATCTGAAAGGATTTTATGAATTACAGTGATTAGTTATATGCTGAGTTTGTGCTGAAGTGAATTTCTGTGACTCTAAAATCTACTCGACTGTGTTTTCTTAGAGATGGCAAAGGGTCCTATTAGTAATGTTTACATGACTGGTGGATCTTCTGCAAATGGAGCCAGATATCCTGCTAGCAGGTTTGAACCCTTTACACTTCCTTTACTTTTCCCAGTATCTAAATATGCCATTGTAATGTCATATACAATGTTTTAACAGTGATGGCTGTACTGACGGCACCATGGCTTCCAGTTCCAATGACTCTCACTACAGCGGCTCTCGTGTGGAGACTCCAGTGTCTTACATGGGGGATGATGACGACGAGGATGAGTATGACGAGAATGACGATGAAGACTAACCTATCTACACCTCTCAACTCCAACAAGCACAGTCCTTAAAATCACCTTCACTATGGGAATTTTGTCGCCTTTTCCCAGTTTTCAATGCCTGCATTTCTGGTTTCCTCAGGGGTGAGGTTCAGTAGAAAGAAAAAAAGAAATGGGTGTGTAATGCGCCTTTACTTCTGCGTTTGAATCACAAGCACCTGCACCATCCAGTTGAGATGTTGTAGAAGGGAACTGTTGCTCAACAAACTGTATGTCCAGTCTGTGTCTTTATAAGCCATCCCACTAGAACCACCTGTAAAATGTACTGCTGTTGGAGAATGTATAATGTATGTCGTGGAATTTCTCAGTGTTGCGAGTGAACATGTGGCTGATCTGATCAAAACTGTGGGATGGCCAAATGTTCTGCTTTAACATTCTGATGATGCCACGCCAAGGACTCTGGTTAGCCTGCAGCTGTCGTACCATCCAAGGATGTGGCTACACCATTTTGTTGATACATTTTTGTTTGTGTTCCTGCAAAACGTAGAAATGATTTCTTAACCCTGATTGTGTTGGGCCGGCTTCCTTCTGTTCTGTAGGCAGCTGCTTTCATGTTTGCTAAGTATGTTTTGTTGTATTAAGTCAAGGAATTTTCCTACATTGTCCTGCAATGCCTTGGTAGTGTTTACAAAATAATGGCACCAGCAAGGTAAACCCCTCATAACACAGGTTTTTGATAGGTAAATAAGCTTTGTTTATTACGTGTAAGAATCCTATGACAATTGTAGTGTAGAGTATCCTGTAGAGGCCAGTGGTAAAATAGACCTACCAAAACTGTTGTAACAAACAATCCCTTTTAAACTGAGCAACATGTACTGACTCTTCCAAATACTTTTTGTGTAATCTAATATAAGTTTGCAAATTAAATATAGATTGTTTTAATTTTGTTTCTATAATTATTCCATAGGTATGAATTTTGTGTATCCTGTTAACAGTGACCAGTATGTCTCTACAGCACTTGGCCTACTGTTAGACCGGTAGGCTTATAGATGAGACGATCTACATCAAATTATATAATCAAGAAAATAAATTGTACAGTGAATCTACATATAAGCTCCAGTGACTGTTCACATGGTCAAATCTATTTGACCTCTGTGATGTTCTGTTCCTATAAGAGCTTGAAGTCTTTTGTCTGGGGCATTAGGGTGTTAGTGGATTATTGAAAGATGTTGACTCAGGTGTGTGTGGGGATCCTCCTGGTACAGACCTTGTGACTAGTTCAGACCGTAGTGTCTACAGGGATCTGCAACTTCTCCAAAGTCTACACACTAGTTTTAAGGGGTTCATCTACTTTCTTTGCCAGATGTCCATTGGTCATAAATCATGGATATTGGTGGCCTAACAACTGTGGTGGCAAATTCAGCTTACATTAATGCTCGAGGAAGTATTGATGGGTCTAATGCAGCAGCAGCGCGGGATAAGAAGTACCATGGCCGCCTCAAACTACCCCACATCACAGTGTGTGAAGACCTTAGAGACACCCTGGATTTGGCTTTTGATTCTGTGTGTGTAGAACAGCCCATTGGAAAGCGGCTGTTTAGAGAATTTCTTGATTCCAAACAGGAATATCATGGAGCTTGTCGGTTTTGGAAAGATCTTGAGGACTATGATATGGCAGAAGACTCTGAAAGAGTCAAAAAAGCCTCAAAGATAGTCCAACGGTACATGGATTCTTCTGCCAAGCATTACTGCCCATTTCTTTCTGAGGAGATCATAGCCAAAGTGAAAGAATCTCAAGAGACTGCAGGTGATGATCTGTTTGCTGCTGCACTGGCTTCAACACTGGACTATCTGCGGGAGGCTCCCTATACCTTCTTTTTAGAGAGTATGTACTTGAAGCGCTTTCTGCAGTGGAAGTGGCTTGAAATGCAGCCCATGGATGCAGACTGGTTCCTAGATTTCAGAGTGCTGGGCAAAGGAGGGTTTGGGGAGGTATCAGCATGTCAAATGAAAGCTACAGGGAAACTGTATGCCTGTAAAAAATTGAACAAGAAGAGACTGAAGAAGAGGAAAGGATATGAGGTGAGCAACACTTGCTTCACTGAGATGCACAATGTTCCATATAGTTAAAGGAACATTATGTAACTTTTCTGGTGGAGGGTCCATCAAATGTGTTGATGCTGTTGCTCTGTCTATGTTTCACAATATGGTATTAAAATCTTCATGAAGACTAATCCAGACCCAGTTAAAGGTCAGATCTGTGGAGAAGCTGCCCTGCTCACAGTCAGAGTGCATGTTTTCAAGGTATTTTTGAGTTATAAAACCACATGTAATTCAATAAATATTAGGTAGAGCTGGTTAATGTCATACTGTGGAACATTCAAGGCAGAGCAATCACATATCCACAGAAAAAAGCAGGTGAGGGACCCCAACCAACAACAAACACACAGAAGAACACAATATGGAGAAAGTATTGCTGTAATCTTGAGTATAGTAACTCAACATTACCCCCTCCAAATTTGATTACAACTATTTTTGGCCATTCATGCAACTGACATAGCTGAAATTGCACCTAATTTTGTAATGCCCTTGTATTTTTTTATGTCCAACAGGGGGCGATGGTGGAGAAGCGCATTCTTGAGAGGGTTCACAGTCGCTTTATTGTGTCACTGGCATATGCCTTTCAGACTAAAGAGGAACTTTGTCTGGTGATGACGATCATGAATGGTGGAGATCTAAAGTAACTTGACCTTCTTTCTTGCATGGAAATACTACATTTATTGTGCTACTCTCAGTACTTTCGCAGTTCACATTTTTCTTTTAACCTATTGCTTTATGCAGGCCTGTGTCTTAACTTAAGACCAACAATTTGCAATAATTACATTGTATTTATTACATTGAATTGAATTGTATTTTATTGTACTTTTTACTCATCAATTACTATGTGTTTGAATTTAAAGGTACCATATCTACCTGGTGGATGAGAACAACCCAGGGTTTGATGAACCTAGAGCCTGTTTTTACACTGCTCAGATAATCCAGGGTTTAGAGCATTTACACCAGAAACAAATCATATACAGAGATCTCAAACCCGAAAATGTGCTCTTAGACAATGATGGTAACTGTCATTTTCAAGAATTTCTGTCTGAAAATGTTTGTATTTTAACTTAAACTATTTTATTTCAGGAAATGTGCGTATATCTGATTTAGGTCTAGCAGTAGAACTGAAAGAGGGGAAGACCTTGACAAAGGGTTATGCTGGCACACCAGGTAGGTTTTACATTGAGATGTAGTTCAATTATTTGCACACATCTCATATGATTTTTGTGTTTGTACAGGGTATATGCCTCCAGAAATGCTGAAAGGAGAGAAGTATGACAACTCTTGTGACTACTTTTCTCTGGGTGTAACTCTGTACGAGTTTATTGCTGCTAAAAACCCATTTAGAAACAGGGGTGAGAAGGTCAGTATTTCCACAGCTTTCTGCCAAAATGCACCTGCTAAGTAAAAAAAAACAAACTTGTTTGTTTAGGTTGAAAAAGAGGAGATGAAGGAGCGTATGCTAACATTGGAAGTTACCTACTGTGACATATTCAGTGATGATGCTAAAGCTCTCTGTGATGGTTTGTTGGCAAAAGAAGCTAGTAAGAGAATGGGCTTCAAAAATGGAAACTGTGATGAACTCCGGGCACATCCATTTTTTAAAAATATTAATTGGAGGAAGCTGAATGCAGGTAGCTTACTGCACAGTTAAAAAGGCAATACATAATTATTTGTGTGGTGGTGCTTTATTAAAACATTTACTCTTCCTCTTCAGGTATCCTGCCTCCTCCTTTTGTACCGGACCCCAGAGTGGTGTATGCCAAAAGTCTGGATGACGTCGGGGCCTTTTCCTCTGTGAAAGGAGTTGCTCTGGAAGACCTTGACAAGACCTTTTTTGATGAATTTTCAACAGGCAACATATCAATTCCATGGCAGGAAGAGATGATTGAAATGGGTATTTACGGAGAGCTGAATGTTTGGGGTCCAGATGGAACAGTCCCTAATGACCTCCGCAGAGAGTCCATTTTAGAGCAGCCAAAGTCCTCCACATGCTGTGTGTCCTAAACTAATTTTGACACACAAAAAGTTACACAATATAAAGATACTGAGTCATGGGTCCCTGTGACTTATTTTATAAGCCTTCTTTATTATTTAGTGTTAAAGGTGCATTAAGTAACACCTCTGGTGACAAGAACACCACCTGCCTGTCTCCATTGCATTGAGTTATTGCTTTGCCTGGAATGTTCCACAATTTAGCATTTAACTCTTTTTCAAGCAGATGAGAATGTATTTTTTTCTAGCAGTAAAAACTCCTGTAATTGAATAAGTGAAAGATGGATAGGTTTAATGCTGTTGGACATTCCATGCAAAGCAGCTCTTTGGAAATAAATAACTAGGTGATGAAGCCCCTTTCAGAAAAGTTACATTGTGCACCTTTAAGCTTTGTTCTTCAATTCATTTTTTAAACATTTTGTTGTTGGTTTACTGCAGTCTTTAATTTGTTTGGAAACTCGTCCTCTTATACATACTCAAAACCTTTCCCAGCATTACCTTTCAATGTACTTGTCAATACAGTTTATAGAAAACACATTATTCATTTTATTTGTTGAGGATAAACAAAAGTTAGAGAAAGATGTACAAAGTACACTATCATACCATATTATCAAACACTTTTGGAATGTCAGAATAATAAAGAATAATACAAATTGCGACTGCCTTAATGTTTCTAATTACTAATTATTACTACTTATTTTAAACATGTTAGCAGTTTAAACCGCAGATAAATTATGTCACTACACCAAATGTCACTTTGCTGTGGCCATATATATCCTGATTTCCTGCTGTGGGAGCTCGGACAGCAGTGTGGTGTGAAAATTCCCCTTGAAGCGCTCGGTGAACTTCAGGTCAGACTGAAAACGGATCTTATTGGCCCAAAGTAGAGTGGTGGTGCTGCCTGGTCTGCAGAAATGGTGCATGGTTTTCAACAGTTCCTCCAAGCATTCATGGTGATAAACCACATCTGCAGCCAGCACATAGTCGTAGTGGAAGGGTGGATGGGGAAAGTCTCTGTCCAGGTCAAGACCCCAGGTCAGAGGAGCCACCTGAGGAGTGTAGCGCGAGCGTCCCTTTGTGTTTCGTAGAAGGTTAAAGGTGAGATTGGACAAAATGTCGGGCTTGTCAGTTGCAGTCACCCAGGCACCTAAAGTAATAAAACAGCTTAATGCAAGTTATTTTATCTTTTGTCTATTAACATAATACCTAGCTAAAATGTTTAGGCCACTGCCTAAATCATGCATATACAGTAAAATGATAATACATAGCTTACCTAACAGACTGGCCACAATGGAAAGCAACCCCGTCCCTGCACCAATCTCCAGCACTGCTTTATCCATAAAGTTGATTTGTTGTTGGTTATTCACCAAAAAATGGCACAACGCAACACACTGTACACAAATTCCAGTTAAAATACCAACAAAGGAGCAACTGTTTTACTTGTCACTATTACTATCCACACTTACACTTACCCCAGGCCATATCAGGGCACCATATGTATCTATAGATTCTCTGATACTGATGTCGTGTCCCACAAAGCAGAAGGACTCTTTCCCCAGTGAGTAGAACACACTGGGCTCCCAGTTGTTCCTGCGGTCCAGAGCCTCTACAGCCATGAGCTTTTGGTCTGATCAACACACATGACCTCTTACAATACTATATGTCCATTAAAAGAAATACTACAAACTGAGACTGCATACCCTCATCAGTCATCTTCTGCTCCACTTGATGCTTTCTGTCCTGTGAGGTCTGTTTTTTTGATAGTGTCTCCATCATCTATTAACAATATTAAGGATGTAATTATAAAACACAGATTGTTATAACTTGATTAAAAATACTGAGCTCAAGATTAGTACAACTTTGAGAGTGTTTATTCTATAGCAAGCAGCCTTACAACTGGGGTTGGTTTGTTCATTACTAAATGTAAACCTAGAGTACAGGAGCACAGTCAGTTCTACCAAACAACGGATGTATTTAAGAAACATAAATAGTTACATACCTGTAATATTGTTAAGTTTTGCTTGCTTTCCTCTTGTATGTGCCATTCACTGGTATGTGGTCATGTTTATAGATGCTGTGTTGATCATGACACACCCCTTGGGGCCCCATGTCCAAACAGAAATACCCTAACTCAATTAGGCCTATGCATGTCACTGTGTGCAGTAATGTATAGAATTCATCTAATAATATAACACTGTTGGTATGGGACAGAGTGGTGTTCTTGGACTACTGTACTTTTCGACTTTGCTTTTTTTTTATTTTTTTTTTTTTTTAATCTTGATTTGTTTTCTATTTGTTGTTGTCTATTGTCTGGCAGATATACATCTTATTTTGTTTCTTATCATCAGGTCTCTTCCATATCCATATGGTATCCGTATGACAGTATATTGGTCTCAAGGCCCAGAATTTTGTACTACACTCCTGGATCTAATAGTAATTCAAGGCTTTGGTTTTTGGAGAATAATAACTGAATATCTTTACCATCTGGACATTTTTTTCTTTGCTGAATTCAGTCTCATTTAACAATTTTTGGTCTTGACAGAACTATCACGTTTTAGTGACATAACAAAGAGTACAAAGATTAGCACTGCTACATTTGTGTGTCCTATAAAAGGATAGTAGACATATGTGAAATTCTGTTTTGCCCAGCAGGCCATGTGCAATGCAAACGTTTTATGGCAGGCCATGGAGACAGAGGCATGATGGTCCTAGGATTATACAGACATGCCTCCAGAGCTGGGCCTGGAGAATTCAGATCTACAAATGGAAACAGCAAATAATATGTAATGACTGAGGACAGATGGGTGCTGTGAAATCATGCCAGTAAACATTGTACTAAAGTGGCAAAACAGAATGGGATTTCAGTCATTTCAAGTTCCTTAGATATTCATGCTCCCTTCACTAGAATAATGTAATTTAAACTGGTTTGTTTGGGAACATAAACATGTGATGATAACATTTTCAATATCTCCTGTCACTAAACACAGCATATCTTAAAAATTCTTCAATCTGATTTAAGGTCTAAATATAACATTTGTTACCTCTACTGTTACTCCAAAGCATTTGGAACTATATTATAAATAGACTGCAAATGCACATTGGAGCCTGACCTCCTAAATCCAGTTGAAGTCACCTTTCCGGGTAAAAGAACAATAGTCAGTCTTATAGGCTCACACAAGCCCAGGGTATGTTTTAAAAGCACGAGCTCACTGGTTACATGCTGTGACTGTGTGTTTGTTGTGGCTGAATTGAATTTGCATGTGTGGTGTTCTGTGTATATGGAACAACAGAAATGATAATAGGGGGATAAAGAGCTACTAGTTGTCACTACTGAGTTGATAATCCTCACCTCCAAGTCCAGAGGTCATGGAAAGGCTGTGTGTGCCAGTGGAAAATGTAATTCCCTCCAACATGAGTCCCATAAGGATTTACAGTAGTGGCATGTGTAGTACCAGTGTGTCACTGGAGCCATTATTAAGTGTTAAGCCCCTGCTATTAGTTTGCAAGGTGTAAACTGGTATACAATGGGCCCAGCTGCTACAAGACCAAAAGATATCAATCAAATGTTCCCATAATGAAGTGGAGGTTAGGATATACTGTGAATGGACCTCTGGGTGATACTATAAATTTGTGCCACAAAAGAGAGACTGATATGAACTACTACTAGAAGCACAGCTCCATGCGGGTCTGTGCATTGATCTTCTTCATGAGGTAAAAGAACCACAGAGATTAAAACAAACAAACAAACAAAAAATTTACAGGGACAATAAAGGGCCTATAAAACAGATGTGTAAACCAAAAGCAAAAAATAACACATCAAACTTATTAGAATTAAAGCATGTATTTTAATTAGCTTGTAATAAATTTACCTGTTGTCATCAATAAATATGACAAAAATGGTAGAACATGAAATAAATGTATTGAACTACTATCAGGCCAGTCAACAGAAATTTGGGGGCCCGGAACAAGAAGACTCATACAGGCCCTCCTCTAATCTTAATTAATAGGCAGAGGTTACAATTCTGGGTCTTAGGGGCCCGGAACAACAGACCCCTTTGTCCCACCCCCTGTCAACTGCCCTGAGTACTGTCCTTAAGTATATATTTTAGGTATCCGTAGTATACATTTTAAAATTGATACATTTTACTTTTACTTATCTGTACTTTCTACTCCACTACATTTTTGAACAGGACTGAAAAGTAAAAGTATTTTTATTATTGTTTGAGACCGACTGAATAGGCCGAGGTGTTTACGTTTAATACTTTTGTAGTTTGAGTAAACCAAAATATACAACTAAAAACGGCAAGGAAAAAAACAATGAATTCTGTAGAACAAATTTCGGCACAAATCTTTATTAAAATCACAACATTTTAAACTTTATAGATCTAAAAAAAACTGCATGAAATACTTTGAATTTTTACTCATTATGTACATTTTTAAACAGACACTTTAATACTTTTAGTTAAGTACTTCTTCCACCACTGCAAACAACTGTGGACTAATCTACAAATATATTTATGGCAGCCTATACACATTTAGCAGTGTACAGGGAAAGAGCAGATAAAGGCCTGGGGTTCCCAACATGTGAAATCATTGAACTCTCCTGAAAAACACAAAACGTAAACAACAGATTTCCATATTTCAGTGTTTGTAATAATAATAATGTTTGATGAGACCTACCTGATGCCAGCACTTCAATGCAGTCCTCTAAATCAGCTGTATTGTTTGGCTCACCCGACAGCCAATCAGCAAAGACCCAGCGAGACCCATCCAACCACACAAAACGCCCAGTCTGACTCAGAATACAGAATTAGGAAGGGGTGTCTCAAGTATATTCATGTTTTCTTTACTATTGTTTTAAATTTGTATGTGTAAAGGACCCATATTACACTACTTATAATGTTGTTTCCTCATCACAAACATGGTGTTGTGTTTTGTTTCTTTTTACACATATTTAACACACAAATTCTCCATATTTCAGATGAGTTCCTCTCTCAAACAGAAAACACTTTGTGATGTCATGTGGTATTGCAGGAAGTGCTCCACAGTGGTTTTACTTGTCTCATTTGGATTATTTAAACAGTGGAATTGCCAATCTTTACTGAACAAAAGGCAACTGTTAACTTGAAAACTACCACTACATGACATCACACAGTGGAACAGAGCATTTTGAGCTTTGGAGATGTAGACAGACTAATAATAAAGTGTTATTCAAACATGTGTGAATAAAGCAAAACACAAGTCCAGGTCTGTGTCTGAGGAGGTAACGATATTATAACATGGCTTAAACCTCACAAGAGTCAATTTTGTGTAATATAGGATCTTTAAATTAATATACAGTCTGTGCTTGTTATTGAGAGTCTGACTTACATCCAGGAAGCGAATCCCTCCAACCCAGGTCCTCCGAGTGCCTCCATTTTGCCTCATCAGGTTCATCATCTCATTGTGGATATTTGAGTTTGTGATAGCAGCTAAGTGGCCACCAGAGAAATTGTCTTGACAAAAATACTGTGAAAATACAGTGAAAATGAATAAAGTGTGTGTTTTGTAAGTGTGTGTATAACAGATTTTTATGATTCTCTAATTTTGACTTAATTTGGTGGGATAATGTAAGTGTAATTTAACACTGAACAAGAAGCAATTTGTGAAAAAAAGAAAAATGTGTTGAAAATGACAGGAAGAAGTAGATGACCTCCTTGAAAACGAGATGGTGACACATCTCAAGGGGCTTATCCTCCAAACAAATAAATTCAAATTAAAGTAAATTCAGATCTAAGAAACATCTTTTTTCTGATACTTTAAATATTAATTAAACTAAAAAAAAAGGTGCTTTCATATATTTGTATTTATAGATTATAGATATAGATACAGATAAGAATTTCTGTGAACATTAGAGGAGTTTTGTTAAATAACAGTTATGGAAGGAAGTAACATTTTAAGACAAAATCTGTACTCTAATCTGTCGTAGGTACTTTAAATCTGAGTCTATAAATCCTAATAATATTACCTCTGCGTCTGCTGCTTTTCTAGGACTTGTGAAAAACTGGTAACACTTCCCTTCAAGCACAACACCAGAGCAATAGCACCGCTCTGTGGAGAAAAGGTGAGGTTACACTATTAACCCCTGAAGAGGCAAAAGAGTCCATCACCTGCTTGCCCCATAAGATTTTTAATTGGTACCAAGGTTAAAAAAACATAACAAAAACAAAGTAGGACTCAGGTGCCTATTCTTTATTGTAAGACTCATTCATGAAGATTTGAGTTTGATGATATTACCATTCACATCTTGGTCCACAGGGGGCAGCATTTCTGACTCTTCCACGTTCTCCAGACTCATAATTTCCTCTTCATTGGAGAAAGGCTCTCCCAGTGCATTCAACATTGGGCCTTCGTCTTCCATGGCTACAGCTTGTGGTACATTTTGCTCTTCCATAAACTGATCACCAGTGTCTTCAGGCTCCAAGAACATTGACGGTTCTTCATACACACCATTGTCCATATTATAAGGTTGTAATAGCTCGTCCTCTTGCATTTCCTCATCACTCATCGGCTCCAGCTCCATAATTGGCTGCTCAAAGTCATATTTTGCCTCTTCATTCAACTCTTGGTTGGGTTTATCTTCATCTTGTTCGACCACAGTCTCAACAATCTCTCCTTCCAGACTGTCCCTCACACTCTCCTTATCTGAAGATCCACTAAAACCAGACTCTAAACTGACTTCTTCAACTGGTGTATCATTTTTCTCTGGTTCTGTTTCGCTGTTGTCTCCAATTAAATCTGTTTTAATTAGTGGTTTCTCGACAGATTCAATCTGGACTTCTGCATACTCGTTCTGGTCTTGTCCCTTTTTCTCTGGATGTGAGTCAGACACTTGGAGTACTTTGCTTGGTGGAAGCTGTGGGGCAGGGTTTTCCACCACCACATGGCCCTGCACTGGCACATGATCACCCACCAGAGGGCGCTGGTTTGCTTTTGGAAGAGGTTCCTGTGCCTCTTTTTTCTCAAATGGCAATCCCAAAACAACTGCAAAGAGAAAGTGACAGTCAGCAATGTTTAAGTAGTCATTTAACTGCCTGAATCTTTTTTATATTAAATGAAGGTTAATCCAAACCAATTAGGCCTACAGAATTGTAATGTATAAGCATATCCCATACTTTTTACAAAACACACCACTGAGGCCTGAATTCAAGTCTAAATTATGAAGAGTCAATAATGTCAATAATACAATAATATACACATGTAACTAATATATTGACTCTTTTCAGATGGTGTGTAATATAATTTCAGTAGAATTCTATAGTAATCAATAATCAATAATGAATATGTCTTACCTGCCAGAACTATAGAAAGCAAAGCAAGTGTCCTCATTTTGGCTTCTATGAAAAACACAAGAGCTGTGGTTTGTATTGCACCGGTCACTAAAGTCACATTTAACACAATGTTGCATGTGCCACAGTTTTATGTGTTGGTGTTCATTTGACTTATCTTTACTATCTCAGTCCGGGGGCTGGTTTAATTCCTTATTAGTTAATGTTTATCAGATCTACCAGTGAAACATATTTCCTCCTTCCCGTTAGCACTGATAGGAGCAGTTCAAAACATGTTTTCCACAGTCAAGACATTTTCCGCAGTCTTTCTCCTGACCTGGATCCTTCAGTGCTCCAGGTCGGCATTGAAGGAGATTAAATTAAGAGGACAAATCTCTATACTGCAAAAACTAAAATCCAGCCAAGTTAAGATGACTTGAATTCAGAAAGTTTTATCATGATGTGAGCAAACTTCACTTGACAAGTAAAATTATCTACCAGTGGAACTTGTTGTCGTTAAAATATGAAAACACATCTTGCTACACTTAAGATAAGAAAAACAACTCTTTGCACTTTAAATAAGAGATGAAATCTAATGTTGCCTGAATTAAAGAAAAACACACTTATTCAAATGGAAAACAATTTTACTCGTCAAGTTGAATCTATTCAAATAAAGTCAAATGTTCTTAATTTAAGTCCTTTTTTTTTTGTGTGCTTTTTTCAGTGTATGTGTGGGCACAAAATATACGCACCCTGGACCTTAATTTAAACTTATCCATTGAGTGATTTGAACTCCAAAACAGTCAAACAGCTCCTTGACTGTTGGGGTTATAGTGTTGTGTGTGTCGTTTGTATTGTGGCCCAGTTGCGCTGTGACTGACGTATAAAGTGTATGTTAGATGACATTAGGCCCACACGAGCGCAGCAGCTGAGGTAGTGGATGGGGAACAGGTGGTGCAGAGGGTTACAGAGCCTGTGTGTGCTCTCGTGCACGTGTCCGAGAGAAGAGCCCGTCTGCAGCTCTTTCTGTGCACCAACTGTGAGCACGTGTGCACAGGACCACGCACTGACAATGTGCTGTTGTGTGCTGCTCTGGTGCCCAGAAACCCAATATCCAAGGACACAGTAGCGGGGCCGCAGCTGTCCCATCTCTGCACCTCTGATTACAACTGTCCACCGTGAACTTTAACCCAGCTCCGTTTTGTATTTAAAAAATAACCATGTTTGCAAAATTTTTGTCTCGAAACAAACTGAATTCTGGTTTAGGCTAGTAGTTATTGTGCTTTTTATTTCATGTAATGTAACATGCAATGTGTGTGTGTGTTTATCTTAAGACGCATGGCTTAAATGTGTTGGTGCAAGTATAGAATAATGCACAGAGATAACAAATATACTTTAGCCCATCGGTTATGATTTTTAAGTGTTGTCAATTTTGCTGTCAGTTTTTCTGCCAAAGCTCCTTCTCAGCGCTGTATCCAGTGCACGCGCGCGCGCGTCCCCGCGGCAGATGTAACGTGAAGACCCTGCAAAGTTTGGAGAACTCCTTCATCCAGACTTTACGAACTCCTCAGAGCGAAGTGCACCGCTGTCCCGGGACTCAAATCTGTCCACTATGGAAATGCTGCCACTGCCTTTTTTCGTCACCCTGCTGTTTTGTAAGACTTATCTTCTCTTTTGCCTAATTGGCCTAAATGTAATTAGTAGAAATACTGTAGCTACTTAACTTATTAAAATAATAACGTGTAGTTGGGGTATTTATTTATTTTTTCATCAAACTTGGTGTATGTTCCAGACTTCAAAATCATGTGCTATTATAATTGATTTTAGCTGTTTGGGTTATTTTCTGTTAGAATAGAGTTAAAGCAATGTTCGGCTTATGTTCGGCTTATGTAGGCTAGTAAAAGCTGCAGAAGTGGCCTGACTTGATTTTGCCGAAGCACGTGTTGTAAATAGAAGACTTTATAATATTGACAAATGATTTGATCGCTTTATCCTATTCCGTGTGAGGTGATGGCTGCACCAGGTTTGGGCAGGTTTGTAATTGATTGGCGTGGCAAATGCGGTGTTTATATTGAGGCCGCTCTGAGCGCGTTTGAACCGGAGATAGAGCGGGACCACCGCAGATTCTGCGAGATCCAGCGTTTCATTTTGTAGATAGCCCCCTGCTGACCCCTGTGGTAATTAGACGCAGATTTAAAGGCCACTTTTTATCTCTGCAACACGCATTTGATGATAAGTTTATTTTCCAAACAAACTTGTGTAGTTCCGTCACTGCATCCTAATGTTTTGATATTTGTTCCGTTTGCACGTCTGCAGAGAACCACTGTGTTATCTCTATCTACAGCCTTGATTGTCTTATATTACAGCAAATACGTGGAAATTATTGTGATAGTTCAGTCTTTTCGGATGGAACATTGTATAATATTATTACTGCATATAACACTAAGGAAATATTCCTTCATTACTATTTCTTGAAGAAAACTTAGGTTTTGTCATTAATTTGTAGTGACACTGCCCCAGTAGTACACCCAGGGCACAGTCAGTATCAATATTTTTTTCTAACCATGATATTGTACCACATTTTATTGATACAGCTAATGCTATATATATATATATATATATATATATATATATATATATATATATATATATATATATATATATATATATATATATATATATATGTTTTCCAACAACATAGGCTAATTAATTCATGCTGTCTTGGTTTTGACTCAGAACATCTGAACTGTGGATCCCACAGATGGAGGTCTTTAGTTTGAAGAATTATATTTGTTGAATTCATTTATTGTATGCTTTAGTGTGTTCATCACCATTGACAGTGGTGCCAACTGAGAAGGATAAGGTTACTACAGTCACACAGACTACATCTGCAAAGAACTGACACAAAAAATTGGTATTTTTAAAAAGTACATGTGTATTATTGTATATTTTGGATCTTGTAACTTTGATAAAAATACAGCATTCTGTGCTTTACGACTTGGCATTGTTCTGTTGTGTGTCTGTGACTGAGCGATGGACAGACCCTTGTAGGAGGTTATCTGGTCGGAGTTGAACTCCTTGTCAGAGCGTCATCCGTCTTCCCCACATTCCTCCCTGTGCTTGGCACCACCAGGGTCCATGTTGTAGGCTCCATGTTACTGTAAAAGAAGGGAGAAGAACTGTCCTTTTTCTCATCATTAGCGGCTGGTCAAGACATTTTAATGTTGTATTTTTGTCTTTCCTTCAGGTCCTGCTTGTTTGTCAGTGACGGTCAGCAGCAGTAAACCTCATGTTGAGGTGCATGAGCACACTGGTGAGATACAGCCGCTGATACAGCTCACACACTGCTCTAAATGTAACACTCAAAGCTGAAATCGCTGCTTTATAGATGCTGTGTTGTCCTGTGAGTTCAGAACAGAGAAGGACCAAAACCCTCGGATTGAGTGGAAGAAAAAAGGAAAGGGAGTGACATTTGTGTACTTCAACAATAAATTTACAAGTAAGACATTTTGTATGATTTTATCAGTGCAGAAATTTGAAATAATGTCAGATTTATTTTAACTTTCTCCTTAAGGCTCTTACACATCACGGGCTAAGATCGAGGGCGCCACTCTCACCATCCACTCTGTGACTCAGAAGGACTCAGGGGACTACCGCTGTGAGGTGACTGCCAGTGAGGACCATGTTAACCTCGGGGAGGCTACAGTCAACCTCAATGTTTTAGGTATAGTCATTTTACATAAATTGATATTGTGTATGTGCATTATTACTGGCATTTCTTTCCAGTGTATTCAACTGTATTCAACTGCCTCAAATCACACATTGTGCACATTCACCCTTAATCTTTGTGGCTCTGTTAACAGTGCCTCCTCATATCCCATCCTGTGAAGTGCCAAGTCCAGTGTTTGTGGGCTCCAGCCTGGAGCTCCTCTGTAAAGACAAGCTGAGTGTGCCTCCTGCCACTTACCGTTGGTACAAGGACAACAAGGGCCTGACAGCTACACAGGACACACCTTACAACATAGACCCCAGCAAAGGCACACTGGTCAGTGAAACACTAACACATACACTTCTTTAGTTTTGTACCCACTGACCTATTTTTTTGTTTGGAGCAGAAGTTTAAGAGTGTCTCCAAACTTGACGCTGGGATGTATCGCTGCGAGTCCTCCAACAATGCGGGGGCGCCTAAGAGCTGTGTGGCTCAACAACTCAAAATTATTGACTGTAAGTCTTTAGGCCTGGGTGCATTCTGACGCTGTCACCTTTAACCTCACGCGTTCCTTTATGTTTCTGTGCAGATCCGCTGAACCTGACCATCCTGATCGCAGGGGCTGCCGGCCTCGTGGCGTTCCTCCTCTTCTGCTGTGTCTGTGTGTGCCTGTGTCGACGCAAAGGATGCTGTGGAAGTGAGTTATTACTGCACCGACTCAAACTAATAGTCATGTATTTTTAAGAACCTACAAGGTAACATATTTAATTATAATTCCAGCATTTCTATTACATTCAACAGTCAGTATCAATATTTTACATAACAGACTTTGACTTAGACAAACTTTATTGATCCAGAAGGGAATTTATTTGGACACAGCAGCTCATACATCACAGTATATTATAATAACAAAGAGCAAAAATATAAATGTTTGATTGATTGTTTGATTCGTTTTATTTCGAGTTTATGCCAAGAGAGAAACAATAATCATGTATACTACATATACATTGTAAACAACAGAAAAGCACATTTCTCGAAAAGGAATGGCAAAAAGAAAAACTTACATGAACCCACCCCTATTCATGACATAGTTTCAAAATTTATGTGGTTGCTTCTGTACATTGATCACAGAACTTAACAAATGTTAGTAATAAATTCTAAGCAAGTAGCAAAAATATCAACAGACTTGTGTCAAATAAGGCATTCATATATAAAAATAAAAAATATAGAAATATAGTAATACAAATATATCTCAGCTATGTACAAGAGGTCGTAAAGGTGCAAAGATGAAATATGATAAGACAATCCAAAATGTTATTGCGTTATAAGTCTTTGCATCTGTTTAAGTATTTGTTAATTGTCTTAACTTTATTACTGTTTTAATGTTTTTCCTGTTTTTTTGTCTGTTCCTCTCCCCCACAGAAAACAAGAAACCAAAAAGGTGAGTGTCATATTGTTTATTGCTTTATTTTTATGCTCCATCTGAACAGATTTTGTCTTTCAGCCCATCTCCGTACAGCCCCCCTCCTCCTCCCAGCCGTAACGTGAGTGATCAAAGCCACTCTTATCATGTTGACCTTGTTATGATTGCTGCTATGAAACTGTCTCACCATTAGCTTGTGTTGATAAGCCCTTGATAACTCCAGTTGGTAATTGCAGGAAGTAGTTCATAGAGTTTTCTTTCCTCCCCTCACAGCTGAAGACGTACAAGCCAACTCAGTCTTTTATGATTTGAAAAACAACCACTGGATGTCAGATGAACACTTTGTGAGCGCCGCACTGAAACTATGTCTCATAAGAGTGGACTGCTGGATTGGAAAGGAAGACTTTTAAACTGTATTTTACAATGTATGAGTGCTTATACTGTATGTGTTGACTCTACTGCTTTGTTAAGTGTCTGTATATATCTATTTTCCAGTTATTTCCTTATACTTGATTGTGGTGTTTTTAAGCTCTTTACTGTTCTCTTCAGACCATCAGCTGTTACTGCCCTTACTATTGGAACATTCTGATTTTATAATTAGGATTTTTTACATTCTTATTCCATTCTTTAGCTATGAAGAACAAACTTTTTATTATTATCATGTATCTGTAAAAGGTCATTTCAAGTTAGGACAGTTAGTAGTCTCCACCTAACAGTGGATAAGACATTTTATGGTATGCTGTTAACATTTTATATATTTTTACACTCTTGCTCTTGCTTTGTTTTGGACACAACAATCTTGGATTATGTAAATTTGAATCAAAATGAACAGGTGTCTGCACACTGAATGTTGCTGAGCCAAAACTTTAATAAAAGGATATACTTTTGCTTTAGTATTTATAGTCTTATGAGTCTGTTTCCCCCCAAAAGTATATCATAAAAGCAAAACTTTGAGACCAAGATTAGATAAGGAGATGCTGTCTTCATCTGTTAATATAAAATGTTTTAGTGCAAACTTGAGAAAAGGCCATGAGTCACTATATGACACTTTGGGACTGAGATGGCTCTCTCTTTGGGATGAGAGCTGGTGGTCTCCCCCTGCCTCACCTGTCTGTATGAAAAAGCTGTTCTAAAGCTGGCTAAATTATCTTTGCATAAGAATGCTAGTGTTGTACCGAAAGGTTTGTGAGAGTTAGATTTAAACAGCTCTACATACTTTACATAAATTTTTAAAATTTGTTTCCCAGCGTAAACAAATTAATACAAATTATATCAACTTGCACTTTCAGTTTGCCATGAATTTATATGAATACATTCCCAGTAACCATAAATAATATGATTTATTTTATTCATATAGGCAAATATTAATAGGAGGCAGAATTTTAATCCTAATGAGTATAGTTTGGTAATAAAATAAAATACTCAATTGTGGCAAAGCACACACACACACACGAGTAAACACACATGAACAAACACAAGCGCGCACAAACACACACACAGTTTTTTTCTGAAACAGCCAATGTCTACCACTAGATGGCGTGTCATCACAGGTTATTTCCCTGTCCATAAAACACAGATTGCTGCAGATTTCTCTATTATTTGTCTGAACAGTAACGCTATTGTTAGTGCCTTTTGTCCCCATTCTGCCTGTTGTGATGGCCGTAAGTTATACTGTTTTAACTTGTACATTTCCTGCTCTTTTCTCACAAAGAGATGTTTGTTAGTTTTGTATAAACTCTTTGTAAGGGACCTATAGCATTAGATAAGGTATAATTCTTACACACAATCATAATTTATGAACATATCTGATTTTTAATAGATCCACATTAAAGCTTATTTCTAAACAGTGTAATATCCACTGTCTAATGTAAAATATTTAGATAAAACTCCACCATGAGCAAATAGTTTTAGTGTTTTCTTGTATTCAGCTGTGAGATAAATAAATTAGCCCTATAGTAGATCACTGTTTTAATAGTCATTTTTAACATCCACCCAAATGATACCAAAGACGTGAAGTGTATGAGAGAGACTACTGTGCATCGGCTTTTGTCAGCTTTGTTTTTGTTTGCTTTGCTGCAGCATATTTCTTGATCTGCCTCTAAAATCTAAGAGTCCAAATCTGATGTGAAATGATCAGACGTCCTTGCTCACTGATTTATGAGCTCTTATCTTGGATGGATGTCTTTGCCTCCACTGCAAATAGGAAGTTATTACTGTGTGAAGATATGAATAATGTATAGTGCAGTATCCACCTCTACAGACTTCACTGTGCTGTAGTTTGGAACTGGCATTTAGACTTATAGAGCCCCTATTAAGATATATCTCTGTACTCAGAGTTGTTTTGTTTCATTCACATATGTTTAACACACAAATCCTGCAAATTAGGCTGAGCTCTTCTCTCAAAACACTCTGCTCCACCTTGTGATGATATGTGATAATACAGGAAGTGCTCCACTGTGTTTTTAAACTCCACACACCTTCACAAGAATCGTATGGATAATGTCAGCTCTGGAGTTGCCAATCTCTACTAAACCAAAGGTAAAAGGTAGCTGTTCACTTGAAAACTACCACTACATGACATCACAAGGTGGACCAGAGCATTATGAGTTTTGGAGATGTAGACAAACTAATAATAAAGGGATACTCAAGCATGTGTGAATGAAACAAAATACAAATCTAGGTATGTTTTTGAGGAGGCAACAATATTTTAACATGGCTTAAAGCTCACAAGAGTCAGTTTGGTGTAATATAGCACCTTTAACTGTCAAATGAACATCTCCTCCATCTGTCACTGCAAATGGACAAGTGACAACCTAATTTTCAGATCTAAAGCGTTTTTTTTTATTTCTCTGTCTTTTCTTAAGAGTCTTCCTTAATAGATGCTCACCCTGCTACTCGTGTGAATGTTTCATCACATTTTGTTAAAAGTGTGTCAGTTAGTGACAAGGCAAGGATTGTGAAAATACAACAGTGAGAGGAGGAGGAGGGGCTGGTGGAGAAGTGGGCGATGGCTGTCAAACTAAATTTGTGTCAGTGTACTGCGTTTCTATTCAACGCAAAATGAATCCTCCAGCCAGGGTTAACTTCAAGACATCTAGTTCCTGTTTCTGGAGCTTTACCCATGATGCACTGTGTCAAAAAAGAGCAAAAAAAGATTTAAGGAAGTCAAAAATAGGGAAATGTATGTTTAAACAGAACGCACTGATCACATCTCTTGCAATGGGAAAGATACAGTCAGAGCTCAAATTAAACCAGGGATATCTCAGCTCACTTAAAGAGTTTTTAGCATGTGCTTTTATAGTTTAAAAAGGGTACTGTACTTCTGTGGACACTGACCTGCATGTAGAGGACACATAGGTTTTCCTCATTCTCCATAAATACCGAAAGACCATGTCTCCTGTGAAAACTCAGAACCTTCAGAATTCGCTCACTGATTAATGACTGGCTGGTGCTGGAGTTTAGGTAAGATTCAGATCAGAGAGAGGCATTTTAGGTTTAAAAAAATTGTATTTCAGCACTGAAACTGGCAACCCAAAAGGGAGAATGATGCCTCGAGCTCATTCTGCTTTCAGACTGGTTAATCTTGAGAACTAAAACATCAAACAACAACAACTTATCCATCATATCCAATGTTTTTGTAACGACGAATAAATCAGAGTTACAATTGTTATCAGTAAAAACACAGAATGAAAATGTTACTGTCCCTTTAGGTTCTGGGTTGTTCTAATGAAGCTGTTTAGTGCACAAAGCATAGATACTTCACTGATTGAACCAAACAATAAAGAATTTCATTGTTTAAGTTTAATCCAAATCTAAACTCTTCAGAGGATTGACAACTCCTGTAATGAAACATAATGCCCTCCTATGTGGCTTTGATACAGCCCAGTACTAGATTATTACCAAAGTCTTGCCCAGGATAAAATATCCTGTCACTGGGGAGCATCAATATGACTGTGATTACTGCTCTGAAGAAAATCACACTATCCATCATCACAATTTTCTGTCATTATTTGTCCATTTTGTGTGTTAGCTTGGTTTCCTCTTTGCAGCTCCTCCAACAGCACAGTTCCAGCCCCTGTAATCCTGCGATCAGCTTTCGGGTTAGGCACAGCTTACATCATGCACATGCTGATGTTCTTATTTGCCTTTGGGGAGATGGCTGTGGCAGTGGGAGCAAATGGGAGACCACAAACAGGAATTACCACCGGAAGCTCTCTTTTCCTGATGCGTCGAAATAGCAACATTTAAATCATTTACAACCCAGCAGACGATGTCCCCTACAGGCTCATTAAATCTTTATACCAAAGTTCATGTACAATGCTGACGGTCCAGGTTGAACAGCGGAAAAAAAATCTAGTACTCAAGTCAAGTCAAGATTTAGACTTAAAGGTGCATTGTGTTAGCCAAGCTGACACCACTTAGTGCCTCCACTTAATTTAATTTCTCTCTGTGTAGAGAGTCAGAATGTATGTTTTTGTAGGTATAGTATTTTTGAGCAATAAACCACCTGTAATTTAATAAATGTAAAGCGGGGCCATTTAATGTCATACTGTGGAACATTCCGTGCAGAGCAATGACATATCCATAGAAAGAAGCATACAATGGACTCCAAACCAAAAAGTTACATAATGCACCTTTAAGGTTACATTTTATTGTTCCCGTAGGAAATTTGTCTTCTGCATTTAACTCATTCTTAGTCAGGTGTATCTTAGCTGGAGAATTGTACCTGTGGTGTGTGTTTTGGATTGGTGTGGCAGCAAAATGAATGAAGGAAAACCACACGGACGATGTTTGTCTGAAGTGATGTCAGCTGCCAGATGCACTGGAAACATCCTATAACTGTGTGTGTTCAAACAGTGGATCGCAGTTACACAAGGTCAATGCTGAGGTAATTTGCGTTCAGACATTTAATCATTAACATATTGTGGATTTTATGGTTTTATGGTTTTATGATTTTATGATTTTAGCTCACAGAGAGAACCAGTTCATGTGATAATGGACATGCTCCACAAACACAATTTATTTGCACAACAAAAATCTGATCAGTTACCCGATTACTGAAATGTCATATTACATCTGTGAGTAATAAATACAATATTTATTATAAGTATTAAGCAGTAAGTATGTTAAAATCCATTATGTTTTATCTTTGAAATGCAAGAGTTACTCTAAAAATCCACTGATTAAATAATGTGGTTCTCTAATTTGTAGTAGTTTGCAGGTACAAAACAACTTGTGTGACCTCAACAAATTGAAAGACTCTTGATTTCTTTTAAATGTATCTTTGTTTTCATCGACATAGAACCTTGAGCTTTCTCCTGTATGAAGAACTGAAGAATTATATATTTTTTTTAAAGCTGGTGGAGGTTAGAAATCTCTACACTTGCATTTTTTTATCTGAATCAACAATGTTCTCAATGACAGACTATTTTCTGTTTTGATTTGATGAAAATGCTGAGTTTGAGATGTTTTGAAGTAAGAACATTA